TTTAGCACTGTGGACCCTATGATGTAATCTTAGGAAGGGTTCATACCCGGTGATTTTTAAAAGCTCGGATTTGTAAGGTGGGAGCTAGGCAACTTGTTACCCTCAAAGAATAGTGCTTCTTGGTGGAACTAACTCTCAGTGATGGTCATTTCGCAGTTTTCTGGCGCTTTTTGGAGGTAGCAACAGCGGCTGGGAGGGCAAACGTCCGAGGTGCAAACCTGGCCAGGTCCTGTTTTTCTGAGGCGGAGATATGGGATACGTTTGTGTGACACCTCCTCGAGTGCTGTAGTCCTTTGCGGTGTGGTCCGCAGTAATCGGATCTACCCCGGTGTATCCTAGGGAATTGGTCTGAGCTTTTTAACTGTCGGGTAGGTATTTGTACTTCCTATCTGCCTGCGTGATGTACTGTTTCTGGAGTTACAGTATGTCACCGACGGTTCATCAAACGAGGCCTTTTCTGCAAACGTCACGCGCCGCATTACCCAGTGCTCAGAGTCATAAGTGCGAACCTTGGAGAGCGTTTCTTCGGCAAACGTAAAGCTTGGGAGTCATTCGACATCTTTGTATTGCGTGTGCCCTCCTGGCCATTGGTCTAACCATTGGCAGGTTTCCCGTACGTCTAAGTTGACACCGAGTACGGCTTCGTGTTCGTCGAAGGTCTATGCTTGCATAGTCGTGTGAAAACTCTTATTTTAATTTTAGTTTTAAGGACACTCTTCCCTCAAAGCAGTAGCTATGTTCTCTAGTTACTGGCGATTGTTAAAGGGTCTTGTTTTTGCCGGTTAGTATGGACCCAGAAGCTGACTTGTGGTGCTGTCAGTTAGTAGGGGAAAGAAAGCTGGCCATACGAGATTCCTGCCCAAGTAGTGCATGATGAGCTATGCTCATGGGTCTAAGCCAGAGAAATTTTTAAGTTATCCTTGTGGATCCTGTGGATTGTTATCTATAAATGTTTTCAGTGCAGATGATTGCCGTATAGTCGAAAGTACTCCGAAAAAAAAGTTTTATTTTCTTGTTTTTCACATTGATGAGAAAGAAAGTAATTGTTATCTTAGATTTAAGGGCTAAAGAGTGGGATTGAATAGGAGTGGTGCCCCTATAGGATCGAAGCTGATCACGTAAGGTGGGACGTCGTTTGCACTACACGCTCCCTTGAAGCGATCAGGTAGCAGGAGTGTCCAGCTCCTTCTCGGCATGGCTATGATAGCTACGAGACGCACTGAATGCGTGGTGGTTCGCTGAGATATTACCCTCGTGCGTCATCAAATTTTGATAGCTACAAATTTTTTCATGATAATCTTTTGTGGTGTTTTTTGTTTTCTTGTTAGTTTTCTGGCGCACTTCAGAGGTAACAACAGCGGCTGGGAGGGCAAACGTCCTAGGTGCGAATCTGGCCAGGTCCAGTTTTTCTCAGGCGGAAAAGCTCTGTATAAGAGAAGTTGTCGACCTATTGGTTGTCTGCTTATATTTTACAGATTTAGGCGCCACAATATGGATTTTCCTTGTGATTTTACTAACTTTCCTTGCAATTGAAGGGTTTTTGATCTATTCCTGTAAGTTTATTAAGTCACACTATTTTTATTTCTTTTGTTTTCGCCATAAGCGTTTGTTTTGGCATCGAATGTTTCGATTGAGGTTTTATCAGCTTAGTGACCAAAATTTTTAAATGCATTTTTAGTTTAAAGTGTCCTCTCTGAGGGGAGAGCAAAAAAGTTTAGAATTTTGGAACTTTCAAAAAATTTACATGAAAACAATTTAACTGTTGTTGAACTTAGTAGCGCTCGATAAATGTTTATGAGTACTAAATTACCGTCGGCTTATGTTTTTGGAAGTGCTTTTTGTTTCCAAATTAAACATCATTGCAGGCAAAACTTCGAAATTTTTGTAGTTTTGATTTTTCGATTTTTTTTTCGTTTTGTTTCGTTTTAGTTCCTTTCCTTGATTTTCTGTCTTCAATGCTATGTTTGTGGGATTGTCATTTGGCGTAGAACCCTGGAGGCGTTTTCCTCCAATTGAACATCCTTTAAAAGAAAATAATGCAACTTTTGTAATTGGGATTATAGAAGTTTTTTTTTCTTCATTTTTTGTGGTTTTTGTTTCATTTTTGCCTGCTAGCTTGCAATGCTGTTTGTGGGGTATCGCGACCTGTGCCAGGACCTCTTTGCCAGTATGTCACAAAATTCATTGAAATAAAATAGCTTTGTTACATAGCTTTGTTACTAACACGGAAGTGTTAGTAATGAAAAACCATTCATCCACATACTAAAGGAAGATGTCAGTTTACACAAGCAAAGCGTGTGTGATAGTATGAACTCTCTTTTTTCCAGCCTAAGTCGCAATTATTAAGGTTCATTTTGAAAGAGTTTTTTAAATTGCAGTATGTGCATAAGAGCAATAACCAGCTATTAAGTACAGTCAATGCTAAGGATATTAACAGACTATTTTATTACAAATAGCATTGTAGCTTCAAGGTATCATGGATCTCTAGCGTAGAGGTAGGGAAGGAGATCCGAAACAAAATAGGAGGGTTAGAACCTGGGCAGGGTGTTTTTAATGAACTTTTTCGTATACTAGTTAAAATGCGTCCGCTCTATAAATTTAGGCATGTTAGTTGGTAAATTTCTTTTTTCAAATTGACTGGAACTGCTCATGCTTCACAATTGGCTTACGTCACTTTGCAATTATGTAGACTCACAATTGGTGTGCGTCACTTAAGAAATTTTGTAGACTTAAGGTTTTACTCATTCAGTTTATCCCAGTAGCGTTATCGGTCATATTTTTGCTTGTGTATGCGAAGTGCAACTTCGCCTGTGTGTTGAAAATCGCCCGACTAGTAGAAAGTTGACCTTTAAAACATCTCGCAAACTGGAAACTTGTGAAACTCGAAGGTTGAGCGTTTTACAAAATTTCTGTGTTTAATTCTACTTTTTGAGTTTTTAATATTATCTTAAGTTGTTTAAAAGCTGCGCAGTTTTGCTGACCGGTTTTGCAGAAGTTTTTTCGATTATTATCTCTTATATTTGGAACGCTACTATTGCTAGACATCTGCATCCAATATGGATATATAACAAACCATGTATTACAGTTCGATGAATGAAGTGCTCTAGCTTTTATTTCTGAAAGGTTTTGCAAATTTTGATATTTAACTGCAGATTTTTTGACTGGAAGCTTTTTTTATAAATGTTATCAGGACCTTTCAAAGTCAGCCTTTTCATTATTTTTCAACGCCGCTGAAACCCCAGAATGACCATGATTGGATTAAAAACAGTTACTCAGCTTTTTTTTTTGCTCTTTTCATCAAAATGTTCAGTAAGGGATGTTGTTTTGCCGCTGCTTAGCGTTTGTGGATTGTTATTTGACACGCTACTGTCTATTGTGTTTATTTATGTTAAAAATACAATGATGTGAGTTTTTGTTGTATCCTTTCTTGACTTAGAATCATTTATTTGTTTTGATTGGTGTTCTAAATCGGTGTTATCCTCGATGGTTTTAAAAGTTTCGGGTAAATTTACTAAGCAGAATTTTGTTCTGAACAACGAAGTTTTGAATGTATTTTGGAATTGGGCGTATTTTTTTCCAGTATCACAGAAATTTCGCAAAGGTTCAGTGTTAAATCAAAGGAAAATATTTTAAAAAAAATTGTTTTCGGTGTCGACAACAACTGATCGTATTTTTAACGAGTAGCTGAATTTCTGATGTATTGACAGCTAGCAGCATGTAAGAATAATATAGATTTTTAAACTTGCGAGGCAAAGTGTATTAAACGAACTTTCTTTTGTTTCCAACCTAAGTTGCCCATGAAAGTGCTACTTTTGGTGGCACTTTTGAATCGGTAGGCTGTGGTAGCAGTATAATATCATATGTGCTTTGACATTTGATTAGTACAAAGTTAACACAGCTGATGTATTTTTAATTCATTGAATGAGCCGAAAAAAGTTATTTGTTTCAAACAGCTATACAAGGATAAAAAGATGACTTCAGAAGTTTTTCAGCATAATTTATGCATAATTTGGCTTTGTTTTCCAATATAAGTTTTTTCCTCTCCCCACCCCACATCACACGAGCATCATATTAATGGTCTAACGAGTGGTTTTACAAGGTTGATAATGAAGACCAAATATGTTGATCCAACTTTAAAGCAGGTTTGAAGTTAAAGTTTTTTGGCCTACTAAATCTGCATGTCAAATTTCATGACAGTCAGAGAATGTGAACAGTAATTTGGCTCTTTTTCAGTTTCCCGCCCCCCTCGTAAGATAACAAAACAAAGCTGTTCAAAAATTCTTCACACGTCATGTTGCATCTTAGAAATTTTGTAGCAATTTGTTCACCTGTTCACGCTGCCACGTTTTGATGTAGTTTATATTATGAAAAATCATTTAAACAGATTTTCACATAGAGAATTTCAGAAAAATAAAAAGGGGGGTCACTGGAAAACAGCCAGTAGTTTTGTTATAAAAGTTTGCTCGTGAGGAGGGGGAGATAAAAGAGCCCCAAATTATTACATGCAAAAGTGTGCTTTTGTATTTGGTGCTACTTTTGCTGCATTGAATTGGTAATTTATTAGCATGTGTAGATGCTTTAGTGGTGACTAATTTTTGGAGTTTTTAAGCATTCATGGCTGAGCGGTTTGTGCATGAGACTCAAATTTGCTAGGTCGCATTTCGAATCCGAGATGTTGTCGAGTTTTTGCCAATTCGAGGCTTATTTCTACTTTTTCTTATTTCACTTGATAGAGCTGCTTTTTGGTCGTGTTCTGGCAATTGTTTGCGAAGCGCAGCTTCGCCTCTGTGTTGAATGTTGATTTTGTTGTTGAGAATGTTGATTCTGAATGAGTTTGGCCGCAATGTTTGACTAAAAGTTATCTCTCCCCTTTGTTCCTACTTCAAAGCAGGTTTTTTATTAAAGTTTTTTGCCTATCTGCAATGATTGAGAAATTGAACGCGAGCTATTATGAAAGTCTAATCAAGCAAAATAGAAACGATGTTTTTGTGTACGTTTTCAGATTACTAGATGGCGAATTCGGCCCACAGAGCGTTGAACCGCCAGGAGACGCTGAAAAATATGATCAAAGTAGGTTTTCAGTTAATTTTTGGATCTCCTTAACTGTCCCACTTTTCCAAAAGGGAGGAAATTGTTACTAGATACGAAGTCTACATAGGTTTAACCATTGAATTATTTCATTATAGGGGTGGCAATTTGTTAATAGATACCACAGGGGGTAGTTAAAGTGATCCTTAATAATTTCCAGGATATTCGATTGAATCATTTTCTCTTTGAGCATCAATGAAATTTAAATAAGGATTAGAAGCAATATTTTTCCACACACAAAAAGTGAAAGCAACGCGGAGGCTGATGGGTGCTGCGATTAGCATGTCAGCCTTTTAGAATGCGATAATTGCTCTAACTTGGTGTGCTTTCAGACGAAAAACAAATTTTGAAATATTTTCCAAAACCAATTGATTTATTGCTAATTTTAATAAACAAAATGTGAAGTAGCGAATCTTCGAACTGCGTTCTTCTACATAGGCATGCTAATAGGCTGGTCCCCGTGTAGAACGATATAAGAGAAGAAGCACAACAATTCCAAGAGACTAACAAAATCTGATTGGCCAATATTGAAACTGAGCAGCTATATCTGAAACTGGAACGTATCCCATATTTAGCCGCCGTTAATTGAGTACATTCATTGACCAAATAGAAGACTCATCTTTCGGAAGAATGAAACTAAGCTAAAATATTTTAAGGCATGCCTTCGCAACCACACAGCTATAACTAAGCGTGCGTCGAACTTAATTTAAAGTGATTCAATGTTTTTTTTTTCTTCAAATTTTGAAATTCCCAACCCTTTAATTGGAAGCTGTCGGAGAACTCTCGCGGGTTGCAAATCTCGCCTCCAAATATGACTACACAAATCTTATTTAAACGTGTGTGGCACGTATCTTGCCATGTTTAAGCGTTTTTATGTCACAGTTAAGGGCATAACGCATCTATACGTGGTTACGCTATATCCTATATTGCAATGCTTAATTTTTTCTCGATTTTCCAGTTTGAATCTAGTGTTTGTTCCACCGAGTTAAAAGTTAGCAACACAATATTGGGATGGTGTCAGATTTCCCCCAGGTGTTGCGAATTTGGTCTCCAATTATTAATTCCCAATGAAGGGAATTTCAAAATTTGAAGAAAAAAATTAAGTTTTCTGAAAACTTTTTGAAAAAAATCACAAAAAAATCATTTCTCATAAACTAAAAAGATTTCAGCTGTCGTATTTGGATGCAAGATTTGCAGCCCCTGAGAATATTCTGGGAGCCATCCATTACTAAAAAGGGAATCTCGAAATTTGAAAAACAAATGTAATTTAAATTTTCTGGAAACTTTTTGAAAAAATCACAAAAATCTCGAAAACTTAAAAAATTTGACTAGTCATATTTGGAGGCGGGATTTGCAAGACGCGAGAGTTCTCTGACAGCTTCCGATTAAAAGTTACGGAATTTCAAAATTTGAAAAAACCTTGATTTTAAAAATCACAAAAAACGTTTTATCTCTAAAACTAAGAGCAATATAGCAGTGGTATTTGAACGCAAGATTTGAATCTTGAATTTCCTGAGAGTACCCGAACAGTACGCAACAAGATTATGGTTAAGTATTTCAAACTTTTTGTCAATTGAGTTTTCCGAAAAATTTTTGAAAAAATCATAAAAATTGTATCTCGAAAACTTAAAAGATATGAAAAAAGTCACAAAAAGGTCATTTCTCAAAAACTAAAAAGATGTGAGCAGTCATATTTGGAGGCAGGATTTGCAAGACGCGAGAGTTCTCTGACAGCTTCCGATTAAAAGTTAAGGAATTTCAAAATTTGAAAAAACCTTGATTTTAAAAATCACAAAAAAAGTTTTATCTCTAAAACTAAGAGCAGTATAGCAGTGGTATTTGAACGCAAGATTTGAATCTTGAATTTTCTGAGAGTACCCAAACAGTATCCAACAAGATTATGGTTAAGTATTTCAAACTTTTTGTCAATTGAGTTTTCCGAAAAAATTTTGAAAAAATCATAAAAATTGTATCTCGAAAACTTAAAGATATGAAAAAAGTCACAAAAGGTCATTTCTCAAAAACTAAAAAGATGTGAGCAGTCATATTTGGAGGCAGGATTTGCAAGCCGCGAGAGTTCTATGACAGCTTCCGATTAAAAGGTTAGGAATTTCAAAATTTGAAAAAAAACTTGATTTTAAAAATCACAAAAAACTTTTTATCTCGAAAGCTAAGAGCAATTTAGCAGTGGCATTTGAACTCAAGATTTGAATCTTGAATATGCTGAGAGTACCTTCACAGTACCCATTAAAATTAGGGCTAAGATTTTTCAATTTTTGTAAATTGAGTTTTCCGAAAAATTTTGAAAAAATCTTGAAAATTATCTCATACACTAAAAGGATTTGTGAGACCAATTTCGCAACCCCTGAGGAACTATGACATCATCACACTTTTGTGTTGCTAACGTTTATCTCGGTGGAACAAACACACTATTTCAAACTGGAAAATCGATAAAAATCTTAATCATTGCAATATACGATATAGCTTAACCACGCATAGATGCGTTTTGCCCTTAACTGTTGCAAAAAAAAACGCGTAAACAAGGCAAGATACGTGTCACACGGATTTAATTATAGTATAGATAACGCCCTTCAATAACGAAACTGCAAATTGTAAAAAACGGACTGACTTTAGTTTCGAAAGTGGATTTTCTTATTAGACTTTTTTGTGCAATGAGAATTTTTCCGACTGCTGTTGTTTGAGAAATTTTCCGAATGGTTTACATCTATCAAAAAGTGATTATCATAAATTTACTTTCTAAACTTTAAGAGTTTTTCTAAGACAGTATATTTGTTCTATAAAAATTCCTCAAACATTTTAGGTAGTTTTTTTTTTCATTCATCTTGTTTTCTTTGACAACGGTCTATGGGCATCAGATTTATCTCTTCGTCAATTTCAGTTGATTCATCATTCTTTACGGGGGATTTAGTGGAAGTGAGGCGAAAAAACTGACAACTTTGATTGCGTTATTGACACTCATTGACCGCAACAGCACCTGTGTTATTGGTGTTTGTAGCTGCAAATAAGTCCAACTCAAATTTCCGTTTTTTTCCAGTACTCCACGAGTCAAAGAGGAATATACCAATATTCTTTACAGGATGCTTAAGAAGGGAGCAGATGTCCTGCTCTTAGCGAAATCTGGGAAATTGGCCAATATTTGGGAAAGTGTCCCTCCTTATTAAGTGTACAATACCGCTATCGAAATCATAATTTTTCACCGCAATTCCACCGAAGCCCAGGTAAGCATGTTAATTACACAGCGCAGCGTTGTGTAATACTACAAAGCATTTTTCTGTGGAATTTTGGATAATTTTCCAATCATAAGCAATTTAATAGCATCTGTAGCTGCCGTCGGAAAAGTCTAAATGTTGATTTGATCGTTTTTTGAAACTTCTGTCTTTTCTCCAGGAATACCTTACCAAACCTGAGATTTTGAGAACAATCGGAAAAACGGGTTAAAGGAAGCTCTCCTGTAAAATCGGTGACGCCCATTTTTTTTACACAAAGACTTGTCTCTTTGAATTTTTTTGTAACCACTTGATCTTTTTCAAAATCCACCTTACCAGTTTTGAGTTTTTCGGTTCAATCGAAATAAAAGGTTGCGTGAAACTCTTCTGCATAAGCGGCTACGCCCAAAGTTTGAACACAAGAAGTCAAATTTCTTGACGTACACAAAAATTGGAAACTTTTTGACTTTTCTCTAAAACTAACCCGCCAATGCTTGGTTTAAGTGTTCAATCGAGAAACCCGGTTTTGGGATTTTTCCCTGCTTAAGCCAATTTTACTTTTTTGCAGAAAAAAGTGATGGGTTTCCGAGAGTCAAGTTTTTAAACTTTTGACCGTTTTTGAGAATTTTGTTGGCTTTTCATAAAATGTTCAAGCGAAAGAACCTTTTTAACGATAGAACTGCTGAAGATAATTTTTTTCCTGCAGAAGCCGCGACTTGTTAATTTTTTTAAATAAAAATGTTATGTTCTTGGGAAAATTCCTAAGTTACTTAAGTTTTTATGAAAATAGAAACAACTAAGTTTTTGGGCAAAATCCAGTTTTTGAACTTATGAAATATTAAGTTTCATCCCGCATCAGTATAGCAAATTCAAAATTTTAAATAAGTATTTCTAGCCTCATCTGGGCCACTAGTTTTCTTTCATCGAGACATACAAAATTTTAGGTTCAAGAGACATACAAAATTTTAGGTTCAAGAGACATACAAAATTTTAGGTTCATACTAAATTTTAGGTTCCTAGTTTTTTTCCAACATTATCATTCTATTTGACAGTTTTTTTTCTTTGTGTTGTGTTGCAAGTGATGCGAAGCTCCGCTTCGCCTCTGTTTTAGCTTTTTTTCTTTTTGTTTTTGCCTTTTTACCGCTAATTTTTGACGTTTTTTCGCTAATTTTTTCGAAGTGCAGCTTCGCCTCTGTGTTTAAATGAATGCGAGGCCCCTAAATCTAACATAAGCTCCAAACTGTGACGATGAACTCAAGTGAAGAAATACTTTAGTCTGTATTTATTGGTCTTAGTGATATCCAGTTAAAAAAGTTAAACCGATTTTTAACCAGTATCCAATTAAAATCTTTTTAACCAAATCGGCTTAATCAATTTTACTTTTAGACGTTGATAAAACAAATGATAAATACGCTGACTTTTATAGTAATTTATGCAATTGGTTAACAAATGGTTATTTTGGTAATGACTGCTGCTCTCGCTGTAGGTTGGGGAGGAGAAGTGGGAGCGTGGAGTGGGCATGGCCAACATAGGAGTGCTGACTAGTGGAGGGGACTCACAGGGCATGAATGCGGCAGTCAGGGCAGTCGTCCGCATGGGACTCTACTGTGGCGCCAAAGTTTTCTTCATTCATGAGGTACTCAATACTCAAGCTAGCTACTTTTTTACACAAACTAAATGACAAGCACAAAATTACAATTGATACTAGGATAGAAAAAAAGTACCTGGACAATGTTTAGTTAATTTAACCTGAGAAATGAGGCTGGGAGATACTTAAATCTAATTAATTGATAGTCAAAGCTTCTTTTTTTCTGCTGCATATGGTCAGATTCAAGTGCTCAAGAAAAAACTGACGGCTTAGAATGTATAGTTTTTTGAGAGAGAATTTATATACTTGGAAAAGGACCATAAGGCGATATATTCGCGAATAACCACTGCTACTCACGAATAACTACGGCTTCAAGCTTGATTTAGTTCGTTGGGTAATATTTTGAGTTTCAGTTCTTTGAAGTACTGATTAGATCGACTAAAAGTTAGCAGTGTGGTTAATGTGTTGCAGGGCTACCAGGGTCTTGTGGATGGAGGAGACCATATCAAAGAGGCCACATGGGACAAGGTTTCCAACATCATGCAGATGGTTAGACATCATTATCCTAAAGAACTTATTAACTACTTCTACCACTAATTCGTTTATTATCCGTTTTCCCATTTTTGTTTCGAGATTCGAAGAAAACGGAATATTTATGCTCGGTGTGGTTTTTTATTCAGTCAATTTTCGGCGATCGAAATAATCAATTTCAACAAATTTTTTTATATCCCATTGAAGATATCGACTTTCTGAGTTCAAATGTAAAATTATTTCACCTCCGATTATTTTTTGTAAAGTTCTGATGGTTTGAAAATTGCCAAATTGGTCATGTTCTGGACTAAATTATGCGCACTTTCGAGAATTTATTCAAAATGCTGAGAGCGTAATGCGAATTATTTATGCGCGGTGAATTATCCCGCTCAACAAAATCGTTCCAGATTGAATTGAGGCTAGCTACTTGTTCGTATTAATTTCGTACGACTCAAACGAGCTGTCTTGTTCCCATTTATTGTCCGTTTTCCCATTGTGGCGGCGGAAGCAATGGCATATCTGGATAGCTTGACCCAATCCAGTATTCAGATGAGGAAATTCTGAATAGCATTCAAGCTATTTAACGGAAGATAACACGTTTTTCCATGCCATTCGATCAAGGCAGTAAAGAACTCATTGTATTAGTGCTCTTGCAGAGTAGCCTTCTTTTTCATTTGGTGGAGACAAATCGCTACTTAAAGCATTGAACATCATAACGTATCCAAAGTGAGGTTTTTTTCTACTACATGCAAAACGTGAAACGAGGCAACTATTTGTTTGTTCTACCGTCTTCAACCTATTTAAAGTTTTTTTGTCGGCCAATGAAAGTTATTTTCAGGAATTTGCCTAATTAGCTATTTTCATAAAGCTTGAAAATTTTCATTGTCTTCTAAGTTTTTCATTGTCCACCAATGAAAGGTATTTTCAGGTATTTGCTTAATTAGCTATTTTCATAAAGCTTGAAAATGTTCATTGTCTTCTATGTTTTTCATTGTCCACCAATGAAAGGTATTTTCAGGTATTTGCCTAATTAGCTATTTTCATAAAGCTTGAAAATTTTCATTGTCTTCTATGTTTTTCATTTTCCACCAATGAAAGGTATTTTCAGGTATTTGCCTAACTAGCACGAAGTTTCGTTCACAGAAATGCATGTGTTTTCTGTAGGATTTTGAAGTAAAAGTGGTATTTAATGACATTACTCTGTGCTAAAAAGTGATGCTTGAGTAATTCTGAACTGTGTAGGGAGGCACCGTGATTGGGAGTGCGAGATGCAAGGACTTCAGAGAGAGGCCAGGGAGACTGAAGGCGGCTGCCAATCTGGTGAAGAGGAGGATATTCAACCTGGTGGTGATTGGGGGAGACGGCAGTCTAACTGGCGCCAACACGTTCCGAGAGGAGTGGTCTGGACTTACCAAGGAGCTGAATGAAAAAGGCAAGTGATATATTTCAATTGGTCTTATTATGGTATTTTTAGTGCGCAAACGATAATAAAGGCAGCTCAATCCTGACTAATGCTAGAGATATAACGTTTTGATCTATAATTAATATAAATTCAAGTGAACGTATAATGGCCTTCCTCAGAATTGGGATTTTCATTTTTGCATGTATAATAGTCGTCAAGAAGTCCCAAGCAACACATTCCATGAACTCTTACATGTCAGTACCCATTCAAATTTTTCAAAGGCGCTTCATAGATTTGCACAGTGAGGGACACTTCCAAAAATGTTCTAGCAAAAGTCATCCAGGTTTTTTCAGCTGAGTGAATTAGTCTTGCTGCGTAACTTGGGACTGCTTTTCAATCGACTGCCTTGGCAACAAGGGGTAATTACCCTTGCGATAAGCAAGAATATTGCAATCGGGTACTAGACTTTTTTTTCTGTAAATAACTTTGTTTACAAAATTGTCAGAATTAGAACTGGTAAATTTGAGTTCATTTATATTGAATTCAAATTTCTTGCAGCACTTTTGGCCTGGAGGTAACGAATACGCTTGGGACGGCAATGGCCCCTGGTTCGAAGCTGACATGACCTGTTTTTTTTTAACGGGAATTATTCCTTTTAAAAAAGTGTCGTTTTGTTATTTGTTTGCCTGTGTTTTGTCGGTTTAGTTGCCACATCGTATAATTTGCTTTTAGTGTTTTGATTTACTTCTGCTGTTTGTTATTTCGTAACGTTTCATATATTTTTCTTTTCGTTATCTTTTTGCCTAAAAAACTTCCGGGCTAAATGATTTCGGCTTATATTTTATCGGCTTAGTGACCTAGTTGTGAACATAATTTTTATGCTCACTGGATTGCACAAATGTTTCGTATAGTTTTCTTTCGTTTTTTATCGCCTACAAAAACTTCCGGCCTAAATGATTTCGGCTTATATTTTATCGGCTTGGTGAACTAGTTTTGAGTCAGTTCAAGGTAAACATAATTTTATGCTCACTGGATTGCTCAAATTGCTAAACAAAATCTAATAGAAATAATGCCAACTTACGGAGGGGGAGCTATAAACATTAATGAACGTAGTAAACACTCTTATATAGGTCTTGGTGATTTTTTGCAGGAAAAAACGTTAAAATGCTCTAATAACTTCAGATGTGCATTCATACATATTAATGCATTTATGAATGCACTTAGGTTGATATGCACTTTTTGAGTTCAATTGAAATTTACGTAAATAGCCTCAGTTGGCTAAGTTTAACTTTTTTAAGTCTGAAATATTGTTGATTTTTTTTTCGCTGTAAAGGGTTTCTGCTCAGGTTTTATCGGCTTTTTTACCGCTGGTATCTTTTTTGTTTCACAACACTGATTTCTGTTTTTGTATCGCAAGTGGTGCGATGCGCAGCTTTGCCTCTGTGTAATAATTTTAAAGCGCCTTTTCAAAATGTGTCACAAATTTATTGAATTTTATCAGATTAATTTTGCAAGTGTTTGTCATTTGTTTGACGCCTTAATTTGACTAAATGCTTGGATTTCAGTCATCCGTTGAGAAATATCGCTATTAGAGGTAAATTTTTTTTGAATATATAAGCAATTAGCTGGTGTTTAAATATGAGTTAACTTCTGTCCAAACTTCCTCGCTTATTCTAGTGCTCAATTGGTGTTCTCAATTTCAGAATATGTACAATTCTTATAACTCTAATCTGTACTTTGTAAATGCAAAGTGCATTCATTGTTAACTGGCATTTAATTACACCGAAGACTTTAGTCAAGGTGTTATGGTATCGTGTAACGGGTTTTTTTTTAATGTTGTCTGTTGTCAAGTGTCGACAAATAACGTCCACAGTTATCAATTATCATGTGGGCTGGACTATATCGCGCTATGTCACGTGATTGCGTATGTTTGTTTCTTTATTTGTTCATCTTTATTTATTTAATTATCTGTTCTTCTATTTATTTAATTATGTTTAGTTTGCTTATATTTATTTATAATTTATGTATGTACATATTTATTTTTGTTTATTTTTATCACGTGTTTTGTTTATTTATTTAATTATTCTTTCTTTCATTTAGTTTTGCTTTTATTATTTCTGCGTGTGTATTTATTTAATTTATTTATTTTCATTTATTTATATTATGGGTCTGTTTGTTTGGTTATTCGTTCATATATATTTTTTCATGTCTATTTAATTATTTGTACATTTCACTTTTGCTTTTATTTATTTATTTATGTATTTATTTATGTATTTATTTATTTATTTATGTATTGATTTATTTTTTTATTGCTTATTTATTTATCAGGTGTGTTTTGTTTATTTGTTGATATTTATTTCTATATTTATTTAATTATTCTTTCTTTCATTTAGTTTTGCTTTTATTATTTATGTATGTGTATTTATTTCATTTATTTATTTTCATTTATTCATATTATGGGTCTGTTTGTTTGGTTATTTGTTCATATATATTTTTACATGTCTATTTAATTATTTGTACATTTCACTTTTGCTTTTATTTATTTATATATTTATTTATTTATGTATTCATTTATGTATTTATTTATTTATTTATGTATTGATTTATTTTTTTATTGCTTATTTATTTATCAGGTGTGTTTTGTTTATTTGTTGATATTTATTTCTATATTTATTTAATTATTCTTTCTTTGTTCATGAATACCAACATTGGTACATTTTTCAGATCTGTGTCATGTCTTTGCAAGTATTTTTTTTGTTTTTTGGATTTGTTTTTCGGATTGTCTTACAGCTACATACTGTCAATTCTGAGACTGCTTCACAATTTCTCAATATAATAAGACTAATAGCTTTTTTTCATTTTAGCTCTTTCTTGTAAGTATATGTGTAAGTACGATTTTTAGTTATTCCGGAGACCCATATGAGTCTACATGCCAATTTATACGATTGGCCGATTGAAACGACAGGAGGCGTTTTGCTACACATACAAACACAATCTTTTGTATTTTATTATAGCTATAGAAATTGATCTACAATGCGTAAGTACGACATTTAGTTCTACGATTGTTATTTCAGGTCCTTTGTCAATATTTCAGGCTCTTTGTCAATATAGCAAAATTTTGGTGTATTTATGTGTTAGTAAGATTTTTAGTTCTACAACGTTTATTCAGGCTCTTTGTCGATATAGCAAAATATTGGTGTATACATGTGTTAGTACGATTTTAGCTCTAGAATTGTTATTTTAGGCTCTTCGTCAATATAGCAATATTTTAGCGTATACATGTGTTAGTACCATTTTTAGTTCTCGAACTGTTATTTTATGATCTATGTCAATATATCAAAATTTTAGTGTATACATGTGTTATTACGATTTTTAGTTCTCGAACTGTTATTTCATGATCTTTGTCAATATATCAAAATTTTATTGTATACATGTGTTAGTACCATTTTTAGTTCTCGAACTGTTATTCCATGATCTTTGTCAATATAGCAAAATTTTGGTGTATACATGTGTTAGTACGATTTTTAGCTCTAGAACTGTTATTCCATGATCTTTGTCAATATAGCAAAAATTTGACGTATACATGTGTTAGTACGATTTTTAGCTCTCGAACTGTTATTTCATGATCTTTGCCAATATAGCAAAATTTTGGTGTATACATGTGTTCGTACGATTTTTAGCTCACGAACTGTTATTTCAGGCTCTTTGTCAATATAGTAAAATTTTGGTGTATACATGTGTTAGTACGATTTTTAGTTCTAGAAGTGTTATTTTATGATCTTCGTTGATATATCAAAAATTTAACCTATACATGTGTTAGTACGATTTTTAGTTCTAGAACTGTTATTTCAGGCTCTTTCTCGATATAGCAAAATTTTGGTGTATACATGTATTAGTACGATTTTTTGTTCTAGAACTGTTATTCTTCAATTATTAGTTGTTCAAGTTGTTTGGTTTTTGCTTCAGTTTCTATGCCTTCGGTGTATTGCGCGTAGCGCCTATGTTATTTACCCTTGCGATTAGCAAGTGTTTTGAAATCGGGTACTAGACTTTTTTCTGTAAATAACTATAGGCACAGATTTGGCACGTGAAAAATGTTACACATTTTTCTTTACTGAAGAGGTGAATATAGTGGGTGCATGTTTGGCATGGGCATGCTAGGGATGGGCCTTGCGTGCCTGTTATGAATTTTTCAATAGTATTTTTTGGAGCTTAAGTGTCGGCTTTAATTCCGTCGGCTTATTTTCCGAATGGTTTCTTTTCAATTACTTCGTGCTTTTTTTGTAAGAATGGTTGAAGTCTTACAATATGTTTTTGGTATCGCAAGTGTGAAGATCCGCTTCGCCTCTGTGTTAAATTCAATTTTTTTGATAATTTAAATCAAAATTGCTAGACGAATTCATCGTTTTGAAATCTCAAGTTCAGTTGCTGTCTGCTAAGTTTTCTAATAAATTTGTTGAGTCTCCAATTTTTGGGTAGTTTCAACAAAATAAAGAACTAGTGAAATAATCTGTTTACTGTTCGCTAAAGTAAATTAAATTATTTTTTTTTCGTACGTCCAGCTAATTTTGATCGGTTTTCGGGTGTTGATCCGTTTTCAATTGTTGCTCTTTGTAGGTAGGTGGACTGGAAACTTTTAAAAAATTTTCAAATCAATTGTTTTTTTCAGCTCAACAGGTGTGTGCTCAAAATTGCCGATTTAGTTGCCATTTCACTTTTCGTTTCTTGTAGTTTTTTTCTTGATTTTTATTTTTTTTGTTTCCATATCAATGTTAGTTGTCATTCTAGTTTCAATGGGGCTCAAAACTGTAATGTTTGTTTTTAGAAATCATTTTTTTTTCTGCTGAACTTATGTCTGCTCAAAGATAGGGGCTTTGTTTTCTGTTCGTAAGTTTTGTTCCGTTGCTAATTTTATTCTCAAATTTCTGGCATGCGAAGTTTTGATTTTTGGTAGAACTAGTGTTTTCAAAGTTTTCCATCTTTTCGACTATGTTTTTTATGCTTGTTTTCAATCGCAAGTGCTGCGAAGCTCAGTTTTGCCTCTATGTGTGTAATTGCGTTCATAGACTCTTTTTCAACTGTCTGCTCGCTCTGTTTTTTAAGAAAAAAAATCATATCCTTTGTTGGATCAAGTTTTGTTGGCTTAGCTGCATTATTAAGTGCTTTAACTTAGTTTTTTGTGCTGCTATTTTCCACAAATTGAAGATCTCATGAGACAAAATAAGAAACGTTTTGACATATCAATTTTTACGACTTCGCGGTTTTCGTTGATTTTATGTCTTCAAGTTTGCAATGGATTGTTATATTTTAGTCTCAGTGAGCAGCAAAAGTAACCCCTCAGCTTGATGAGGGGTTGCTTCGCCTTCGTGTAAACGGTTATTTGTTGCTGAAAATTTGAAAACTATTTAACCGGACGTGAAAATTCCATATTTTTCCAAATGAAGTCCAATAAGTTTCATATTTTAAACCGGACGTGAAAAGTTTGGAAAAAATTGGAACCCTAATGGTTTTCCGAATGGTTTCTTTTCAATTACTTCGCGCTTTTTTTGTAAGAATGGTTGAAGTCTTACAATATGTTTTTGGTATCGCAAGTGTGAAGATCCGCTTCGCCTCTGTGTTAAATTCAATTTTTTTGATAATTTAAATCAAAATTGCTAGACGAATTCATCGTTTTGAAATCTCAAGTTCAGTTGCTGTCTGCTAAGTTTTCTAATAAATTTGTTGAGTCTCCAATTTTTGGGTAGTTTCAACAAAATAAAGAACTAGTGAAATAATCTGTTTACTGTTCGCTAAAGTAAATTAAATTATTTTTTTTTCGTACGTACAGTTAATTTTGATCGGTTTTCGGGTGTTGATCCGTTTTCAATTGTTGCTCTTTGTAGGTAGGTGGACTGGAAACTTTTAAAAAATTTTCAAATCAATTGTTTTTTTTCAGCTCAACAGGTGTGTGCTCAAAATTGCCGATTTAGTTGCCATTTCACTTTTCGTTTCTTGTAGTTTTTTTCTTGATTTTTATTTTTTTTTTGTTTCCACATCAATGTTAGTTGTCATTCTAGTTTCAATGGGGCTCAAAACTGTAATGTTTGTTTTTAGAAATCATTTTTTTTTCTGCTGAACTTATGTCTGCTCAAAGATAGGGGCTTTGTTTTCTGTTCGTAAGTTTTGTTCCGTTGCTAATTTTATTCTCAAATTTCTGGCATGCGAAGTTTTGATTTTTGGTAGAACTAGTGTTTTCAAAGTTTTCCATCTTTTCGACTATGTTTTTTATGCTTGTTTTCAATCGCAAGTGCTGCGAAGCTCAGTTTTGCCTCTATGTGTGTAATTGCGTTCATAGACTCTTTTTCAACTGTCTGCTCGCTATGTTTTTTAAGAAAAAAATCATATCCTTTGTTGGATCAAGTTTTGTTGGCTTAGCTACATTATTAAGTGCTTTAACTTAGTTTTTTGTGCTGCTATTTTCCACAAATTGAAGATCTCATGAGACAAAATAAGAAACGTTTTGACATATCAATTTTTACGACTTCGCGGTTTTCGTTGATTTTATGTCTTCAAGTTTGCAATGCATTGTTATACTTTAGTCTCAGTGAGCAGCAAAAGTAACCCCTCAGCTTGATGAGGGGTTGCTTCGCCTTCGTGTAAACGGTTATTTGTTGCTGAAAATTTGAAAACTATTTAACCGGACGTGAAAAGTCCATATTTTTCCAAATGAAGTCCAATAAGTTTCATATTTTAAACCGGACGTGAAAAGTTTGGAAAAAATTGGAACCCTACGATTTTTTTTTGCAGAAGAGCTGTTTGTTATACTTGGCTATCTTTTTTTTAAAGTTGACCATTTCATTGTAATTCATTCACAATTTGATTTCTGCTTTGCTTACTGCCTGAGCTATATGTTGGTAAATGTAATTTAATGTTAATGATTTCGGGGAGGTACTAGAATCAATCAATGAATCAAATCAATCAATCTGTTGCTTCTGTTTTTTCGCTTTTGTTGGTAAAGCTCAGTTTTGCAACTGTGCTCGAATGATTTCTGAATGTTTTATTTGTCTACAGGGGTGTTAAATGCAGATGACATGGGTCTGTGTAGTCAGCTGAACATAGTGGGCATTGTGGGCTCAATTGACAATGACTTCTGTGGGTCGGACATGGACATAGGAGTGGACTCTGCCCTGCACAGGATCATGGAGTGCATCGATAACATCACCACCACAGCCATCAGGTCAGAAAAGGATGCGACAGTTCAACACAGTATTCACATTGGTTTCAACTGTACCAGTGTATACTATCAAACAGGGGCGGATCTAGGATTTTCTCGATGGGGGCCGGATTTTTAAAAAAAATCGAAAATTTTCTCGACTTTTTTTTAGATCGACCAAATTGATTTTCGGAGCTTCCCCCAATCATTATAAAGTCACACTTTGGATAAAATTATCTGCGCCGCAGGCAAATTTTTGAAAAAACAGGCCATAAAAAGCGTTTTTGAGCACTTTTCGAAAAAAATTTGACCAGAAAAATTTCGTTTTTTTTGGTGCGCGCTCCCCCTCAAAATTAGTATATTTTGGCGCCAAATGCGCTTTAAGAAAATTTTTAGGCTCAGTCAGCCAAAATGGATATCTCAAAATAGTACAAACGGGGGGAACCTTTGTGTCGGCAGGTGGTCTAATTCTTGCTGGGAAAGGTTATTGTACTCGGGTGCAAGATTTTTTTTCGGTAGCCAACTTGTTTAACAGAGTGGTGAAAATTAGAAATGGTAAATGGTGCACTCGCGTTTGCGATGAAGGTAGAATATGTATGTACGCATTTTGTCGTGTACGCCCAGAGATCTTCAATTGCAGGTTTTTTCTATGGCAGATTTTCTGCTTATTGGGTGTCGGCTTTAATTTTTCAATGAGTTTTCACCTAATACGATTTTTCAGCTTATATCCTGTATAATTAAAGATTATTTGGATTTGAGATTATACGGCTAAATATTGTGTGGCTGAACTTTGGAAAGCATTTTTTTTATTGAAAAAAAAAATTGTTCGTTTTTTTGACATTCAGTCGACTTTGTTTGTAACAAATTATGCAGATTATAATGCAGTTCGAGATTTTTTTTTTCAGTTCTGAGTCTCAGAAAACTAAATAGGGTTGTTATATTTCGATCGTAAATAGCGTATATTTGGATTGTTATTTTTTTGATTGTTCAAGCTTGTACTCTATTTCTACAGTTACCGAATCAATTGTTTCAGATAACCAATTTCCAACATTTCGTAGCCTGAAAATATAAGCAATTTGGATTACGCCTGTGACCATTTTTTCTGTGGTGCTATATAGTTCGCTTCCATTGCAAGTAACATTTTCGACGGAGATGAAAATCAATGGGTTTTCGTCAGCCTTTTTTGGGTTAAGTTACTGCAAGCCAAGATTAGTTCTACGAGAGGAACCCTTACATTGTGCGGGAGTTTTTTTGAATTCTATCAATGCTATTTAAGCTATTTTGTCTGTGAATTTTTTGTCATTAAGTTTGAGCTTTCTAAATTTTTGAAACTTAGTTTGTCATTTTTTGACCAAGTCATTTTTCTCACAAACATAGGTCTGCAGATAGATTTTTTTTTGCAAAGTTGATCAAGGGTTGTTGATTCCGTTTTTATTAAGCGGTTATCTGTTTCATTTTTTTTTGCATCTGAATAGTTGAAGTTTAGTTTGGTTGTTAGAAAATTATCGTTTTTTACTGTTGCTGGATTGGGAATTTTTCTCAAAGATCTCATATAAAGCATTGCAAGGATGTTTTCCTGTACCGATAGCTGAAATTTCAAAAATGTTTCAATTTTTATTTAAATATTTTTTGAGGATTAATGATTATAGTGAAGACAATTATAGTTCGTGGAGATTGTTCGTTTCCTCACTATCTTTATATACCTTTTTTTAATTCAATTCAAATTCAGTTGTTGAAGTTAGGGCAAATTGGGCGCTTTAATTTCACAAGTGGATAGGTTGGGAAAAACGAGAGTGACTTTCAGTTTCGAAAAAGTAGCTAGGGGAATAAAAGTTATACTTTCTAATCCAGTTTTGTCAATATGGGTTATTTTTTATATATATAAAAATGTCAATCATTAAAAATTCTTGAAATGCAATTGGTTTCAATTTTATTGAAAAGCAATTTTTTTCTGTCTCCTTGCGTTTATTGCCTCTCGACACTTCACCAACTGTCTGTTGGCTGTTTGAATTTTGAGGTTTTACGAATTCGGTTGAAAATTTTGGCTTATCCTAAGCACATTCTCTATCTGATTACATGCAATAGGCTTTTTTGTTTGTTCTTGAATTGTTTCTTGATTTTCATTTTTGTATTGAAAGTGATGCAAAGCTCTGCTTAGCCTATGCGTAAAAATGTTAATGGAATTGAATTGCTCTGTGCTTTTCTGAACCGTTTCAAAATGAAAAATAATTATACAAGGACCGTGCTCAGGAGCCCATTTAAATGTCAAACACCGCGCAATGGTAAGATTCGACAGCACGATCGGGTGTCCTGATTTCGAAGCCGCACTCCTTCCCCCATACAGTGTGAGTAACGGTCCAGTCAAAAACATTACATCAAGAACTGGAGAAATAAACTAAATTTCGAGCACGAGAGATAAAATATTTATAGACAATTTTTAAAGGAAATTTATAGAGATGGGTATATAAACACAAGTCTGGACGTAATGGGTGCAAACTTGCACATCTAGCAACCTGTGTAAATTACTGCAGAAGCATCATCTCCTCAACAACAGTTCCAATCGACGCTTCAATGGCTGTGCGACGACATATAGATCGCGAACCACGGATGCATAAGTAGCGCAAAACTTATTTTAATGCGCACGTAAGTGATGTCGGAGTAGCGGTCTTCTTTTTTATCGCATAACTTTCCGGCGATCAGCTGCATAGTCGTTGTCACTGATAGCCAAGCTCCTCCAGTTTATGAGAAGAGAGTGGCACGAAAGTGGTTTTTTCGACATTGATAACTGGCTGCTCATAGGGGAGTTTCTTGGCATTTTTGTGATATTTGTAAGATTCTGTTATATATATGGGGCATGACTTTGCACGGGAATGAATACTTTCACGTCAAAGAAAGCTCGATGGTACCTTGATCATCAATGTCCATTTGCTCTAATGTCAAGTCGGACATTGTCTTCAATTGACGTACTTTTGTTATCAAAGGTTTCTTCTTGTAACGGCTGAAGATGGGGCTCGATTTTGGAGTCCGTATATCATTGTGTCTAAGGTGCGTAAAGCCTTCCATCCATATCTCAGAGCAGTTCCATCTCGAAACTCAGACTTAGTTAGATCAAAATGATATTTGTTCAATGGCAATGCGTTCAGCCAGCATGATGCACCTTTTTTTGCAAGATCGAGGGTGTGCCTTAAGGAATAATTGCACGATTCTTGTATTAAATTAATGTTCTCTTTTTGAGTCAGTGCTTTTTCCTTCTTGATCACATCAGCGAGTTTTGCCTGACAACCTTCTGCATCTGGTTCACCGTCATCGTAAAGAAAGGCAGCTATTGCCTTCGATCTGTTATATTCTTGAGCCCTATCTTTGGGTGTAATGATGTTAAGGCCTCCTCCACGCACTGGTAACGAAATTTTTTTTACGGTACTGATCGTCATAGTTTGCGTGATTGACTATGGAAGTCAACAATTGATCATGGATTACCATTTCTTTTCATTTAGCAGGTTATTGTTGTTAAGAGTTTTTCTTGAAATGAAGGTAAATGTGTGCTGGACTCCTGCTGTAGTCGACTTATGCACGTTTTGAGGTGAAATTTTGGCATGCTTTGATAGTTTCTGCAGTAAATTCTTATACTCATTAGTCTTATCCGATAAGAATTTATCGCTTTCGGTTTGGGAGCCTATATTTGATCCTAGAACACGATGACCATGAACAACATCTATATCACAATCAGCAAAAGCCTCACGGGCTTTCTTTACTACTTTTGACTTTGATCAGAAACTTCTGACTTTCTTCTGACATTAAATGACACTTGATCACGTTTTAACCGAATGCCGGGCTGTTTATTGTAAATTCGTCATGTAGTTTTTTTCAGGTTATCAATCGACCCTGCCGAGTTACCATCGTCAGCATATCCTTTTTGCATTACATCAATTTCACGTACTCTTTCAATAAGAGGCAGTATTGCGATGCCATACATTGCCATTGCCAGTGTGTCGCCTTGGGTGGTACCTTCTTGAGTTTTGATACATCTGTTATTAATGAACAAATCAGTAGGCTCCCTATACGAATTCGAGATGGACATATGCAGGTCTGGGCACCATTGCTCAATGTTCTTAAGGGCGAGCTCACAGTTAAAACTATACAATCAAACAATCAAATTTATTTTTTTTGTCTCTGCGTTAATCGAGGCTACTAAAGCGCATGTTTTGTGATATGTTCTCTAGTTTTCCCGGAAACGTTGTCGCGTTTTATCAAAAAATCGAAATCGAAATCTGAGTTTTTGGGCATTGCAGTTCTGGCAAAAATTTTATCTGTGTAAAAGAATAGAACTTAGAAGAAAACAGCGGTCTAATATTTATATGTAGTTGTCGTAGCTGTGAACCGAAGAAATATGTTCTTGTTTATAAATCAAAAAGAAACAGTCATGCTAAAAATGAGAAACCAGTAAAATGAAATTGCTGTAGACTTTCAGCTTTTAAATTTTTGAAAATGAATATGATTATTCTATAAACTCATGTCAAGTAATGTTTATTTTTGTAGTCATCAGCGGACGTTTGTGTTGGAAGTGATGGGCAGACACTGTGGCTATTTGGCTCTAGTGAGTGCCATCGCCAGTGCCGCCGACTGGCTCTTCATCCCGGAGGAGCCACCCGAGGACGGATGGGAGGACAGGATGTGTGAGAAACTAGAAACAGTCAGTTGCTACTATTCTGTGCTCATTATTTGAAAAAATGATGGAAAAATTGTTACATGCAAACAAAATGTTATAAAATTGTATTGAAACCCAAAAGTGCAAATGAGGTTGTCGTTGTATGCCTATTTTATAGCAAAAGGTTAAGAAATCTCTAATCTTTACCTGACTTGCTGGTTCTTTCATCTTCACTGCTCCTCGATTATTTTTAAATGCCAACTGATTGTAAGATGAATGTTTTTTAGGCTCGACTATATGCACGTAGACTGGGCATCATCATTGTGGCAGAGGGAGCAGCAGATAAACATGGCAAACCCATCACCGCCGAACACGTCAAAGAAGTGCGTAATTGTTGACCAAATATGACGTGAAGAAACTGAGTGAAATCATGATTTGAAATTTTATTCCAAAAATACAAAAATAAAATTCATCCTTTTAAATTTTGTAATGCATCCATCAAATGCGTTCAATAAACGGGTCGAAATTTTAAAAAAAAAACCCTGTTTACTCTAAGTTCAATTTAATTTACTCGGCAGATTTTTAAGACAATAAATACATTTTGTGGCTTAAATTTAGAAAAATTCAAATGACCGCGGAATAGAAAAAAAATTAATGTCTCTTTATTTCACAAAGACACGTTTAATTTATTGACTCCTCGTTTTTTGGACGAAGTCAGAATTTTATTTCCTCGCCCGTTGCGATTTAGGTGATCACAAAAAGAACCACTCAGGACACGAGAGTCACTATTCTTGGCCACGTTCAAAGAGGCGGCAACCCTTCTGCCTTTGACAGACTGCTCGGCTGCAGATTGGGGGCAGAGGCTGTGATCACTCTGAGGGACGCACAGAAAGGAACGCCTGCATGTGTGGTGTGTCTATCCGGAAACAGCGTCGTGAGACTACCCTTGATGAGTTGTGTGGAGAAGGTCAACTTTTTTTAAAATCTTTTAAACATAATTTAAGACTGTTTATGCTCTAAGCTAAAGAGAAATGTACGAGCTGTTCAGCTATTTTCATAGATTTGCCGTTGTGCCTCATTTGTGAGAAATACATAAACATGAACTGTTATGTAAATTTGTTGGCTGCTTAATATTGCCTCTCCCTCAAGCCACTAGCACGGACTATCCATCCCTCGATTTTCGGGATGAAAAGTAATTACGTATGCATTACAAAAGGCTGCGCACTTTTGTTTTGAGCTAATTGTTCTAACCAATGATGAAAGTATAGTTGGTGTTCATTTGGTTTTCAGTTTTTGTTTTTTAAAAGTCGATGAGCGTAGTTCAGACTCTTATATAGGTCGTGATGTTTTTTGTTTTTTTTTCCAGGAAAAGTTTGTTCACGCTCAAATTTGCTTTTTGCTGGTTCGAGTTTTGATGCTTTTAGACAAGCAAAGCGTATTGTAATTTTGTTTCGAAGATTTTTTTTTCTAACCTAAGTAGCAAATAAAAGTGCTCATTTGATTGCACTTTTGGTATATTCCAATTTAATCATATTTAACCTATTTAAGCATAGGCAGGTTAATAGCAAAAGTTCATCCTTTGTTTCAATCAAAAGAACATATCATGGGGATCTCTCCTTCTAAAGCAGTTATTCCCTAAATCTGTAGAAAAAAAAGAGAAATGATTTAACCGATAAAAACCAGTTATGTGAATCTTCCCTGCCCAAGCGGCTATGTCCTTCGTTTTGAAAAAAAATATGCCCTTAGAAAATGTCAAAATTTTGAAATTTCGCCCGTATTTTTGTAACTTTTTTTATTTTTCGTCAAACACTAACCTGCTGATTCTGAAGTTGATAGTCCATTCCAACTATCATGGTGCTTAGATTTTCCCTGCGAAATTTCATCACTTTTCTTGAAAACTACTATCTGAATCTGATTTTAAGGGTTCAATCTAGAAATCAGGGTATGGGAGTTTTCATTGCAGCAGAGGCTATTCCCATGCTTTAATAGCGAAAAGTTCATTGATATAGTTTTTGATTTTTGATCGTTTTTCGAATATTTACTTTTTTCGATAACTACCCAGCCAAATCTGAAATAGAGAATTCTTTTGAAAGAGCGAGTAGTAGTTGTCTCCTTTAAATAATCAGCTAATCTTCTACTTAGTTGAGAAAGAACAAGGTTTTGCGTAAAGACCATGTTTTCGAAGTTCTGAAATTCACGCATTTCCGTATCAGTGCAGTGTTTCAGTAGAATGATTAAAACAGGTTTATCCAGCATCAGCTTGGCCACTATCTTGCTTACAAGTGACCGTGGCGCAGATGCCAGGACGTGAGTGATACTCTAATCATCAGGTTGAAGTTTCAAATCCGCAACAGGAAGTGTTCATTTTGATCAATAACCAGCTATTAAGTACAGCCATTTCTAAGGATATTTACAGACTATATCAAAATAGCTTTTTAGTTTCAAGGTATCATGGATCTGTAGCATAGCGGTAGGGAAAGAGACCCGCACCAAAATAAAAAGGGTTCGAACCTAGGCAGGGTCGGATGTTTCTCGTATGCTAGTTAAAATGCGTCCGCTCTATAAATTGAGGCATGTTAGTTGGTAAATTTCCTTTTTTTAAAATTAACTCTTTCTGCTAATGCCTCATAATTGGCTTGCGTCACTCAGCAATAATGTAGACTAATAATTGACGTGCGTCACTTAAGAAAATTTGTAGACTCAAAGTTTTACTCATTCAGTTTTTCCCAGTAGTGGTATCGGTCATATTTTTGCTTGTGTATGCAACTTCGCCTCTGAGTAAAAGGAATACAAACTCTACAATTGAACAGTGAACGTGTAAGGGTCACGAAAAACGTGATCGACTTTCCATTTCGAAAATAAAATTTAATTTTCAGATTTCCCAGCGGAATAAAAAAATTACCTAATGATCCAGTTTTGTCGAATTGAATTAGTTTTATCAAAAAAGTGTCAATCATCTATTTTATTTTTTTTTTGGAAATTCGAATCTTTTTCAAAAAAAAACAAGTTTTTTTGTTTACTTTCGTTCGTCGAATCTTTTCCAACTGTCTGTTGGCTATGTCTAGAATTTTGAAAAAAAAATTTCAGTTTCTATTTGTAGAGTTTGAGGTTTTACTTATCGAGAAAGCGTTTTCCATTCATTTTCGATAACAAAAAAGGAAATGGCATGAAAATTCACTCTTTATGCAGGTTCAAAACGACTGCAGTCAGTTTTGAGAACCACCAGCGAAGTAAATAAATTTTCTTTTTTTCAATTTAAATATAAATTTTTCTAGTAAATCTGCTCTTTAGACGCGGCAAGTGGGAATAGCACTTGAAGAGAAGCGTTTCGCAGATGCGTTGAGCTTGAGAGGAAAGAGCTTCAAGAGTAACCTGGAGATCTACAAGACTCTCAACCATCGAATGCCCCCAAAGGTAGGCGCAACAGTGCACTCTTCTGCATGCACCATACTTGGATTCAATGATAAAACTGTTTGTTTCATTTCTTATTTCTAATGTTTAGATAGATTCAAAACCCGACCAAGTTGGTAGATATTCTTATTCTATCTGTTCATAATGCGAATCGGCAGCTTATTCAAAATGGCAAATCAGGAAATTGGGGTCAATTTTTCAATTGTTTTTTTTTTCAACGGTACTAAAAACTATGTGAATTATTTACAATTTACTACACTTTGAAAAGGTATCTGCAATTGGTTGATTAAGAGTAATGAACGTAGTGAGTACTCTTATACAGGTCTTGATGATTTTTTTAAAGAAAAAGCCATAAAGTTTGTTCAACTCGATTTTGATTTTTCGGGGTTTGACTTGTGATTTCTCTTCAAGTTCAGTTCATCTCCTTTGTTCAAAGGAAGGCAAACTTCACTATCGAACAGCAAAATTTAAAGGTCACGAAAAACGTGATTGACATCTAATTTTGAAAAAGGAAATTAATTATCAGATTTTCCAGCGAAATTTAAGTTTTACCAACTGATCCAGTGTTCTGAAATTGGGTTAATTTTAGCTAAAAAAGTATCCATGATAAATTGTTCGACAAATTCAAGGAGCTTTAAAGCCATCTATTTTTTTCTTCGAAATTCAAAAGTTGCTGGTTTTTGAAAAAACAAGTCAGTATTTTTTTTATTTTTCTTGCGTTCATTACTTTTTTTCAGCTGTCAGTTGGCTATGTTTCGTTGGTTTAAAGTTTACAAATTAGCGTTATCTTTATTTTAAATAAGTTACATTTCGATGTTACATGTTGGTTTTCGGATAAGGCTGAGTGATCCTTTTCTTTTTCGTGGTCCCACTGGTGTTCTCGGTCTGGCGTGTATTGAAATAGCACTGTCAGTTGACTTTCTTCTGCCGTATCTGCCTCTGTTATGGCCGTCTCTTTCATCATCTTGTTGCCTCCATGATTGGAATGCATGCATCATGTCCATTTTTAGAGTAGAGTGAATCGCAGACACCCAACTGTCTCTCAGTTCCTCGCTTGCCGCATTCATTATGTACCTCGAGTGCATTGCGGGTACTTGAGGGCCGTTTGAGTTGGCCTTTGAAGCAGTGATAATGGACCCATCTACACTGGCCAACTGGAAGCAGAACTTCTTCTTGCTAAGATCCACTTTGCTGACTTCAAGGTTCTGCAAAATAATGATCCCTTTTGGACTCGTTGCGGTATCGTCCGTATAATAATAGAGAATATCAGAATGCAACACGAAGTATCTTTTGGTCCAGGATTTTCGCTCTCCGCCTTGCTTTTCCAGGAATCCACTCTTGATCACCTTTGCCTCGGTGCCTGTCGAAGCGTCCTGGTCGCGTTTGCAGTTGAACCGGAGTGGATTCTCTTTGATTTCGCGGTACAGTTTAACCATGTAGTCTCTCTGAATACCAGCTTGGTGCCATTGCTTTACTTCGTCGCATTGTCCGAAATTTGCAAATTGGTCTTCGGTCATTCTGTCTTTTGCCTTCACACTTGAGTTGTTCAAAGAGGTGTTGATGAAGACTACAGCTCCAGCCGCGAACTCACAAACATCTTCTGTCCCAAAATTCTTTTCTGCTTCTTCCTTGTTTTGCCGGAAGTAACTCTCCGAAATGCATTTATAGATAAAAGATATGACGCCAGCTTCCGCTTCTGTGAATCGCAATGCTTCGAAACACTGTCGAACAGATTCTAACAAGTTAAGTCCTGTTATGTTGATACTCCAGATGAAAATTTTCAGCACTCTTTCATTTTCAGGCTTGAATAAATATTTGTGGAATTTTTCAATATTCAATTTTGGCGATTGCTCCCTCAGAAACTGCGACTTTTCATAATTATTCGAGTCATCAGTAACAGTTCCAAGTTCTATGAGAAAAGAAAAACACTCGACGAATTTTCCATTGTTAAAAAGTTCAATCGCAGGTCCCAGTTTAGTTGAATCAGATTGTGCGTCCACAGCAGATTGCAATTCTTTCAAACGACTTTCAATTTCTGCGTAATTTCTTCGGTTTTCTTCCATTTCGGCTCTGAGGTTGAATTTTTTTTGTTCTTGTATTGCAACTTCATTATGAGTTATATTATCCATTAGGAATAATCAATAAATTGCAGATGCGCCTAAAGTTATCGAAGATAAAGATTCTAGTTTAGAGTCGTTTTTCGCGTTATGTAGGTGTTCTTGTGTATGAAAGCAATCTTGAGGTATGTGAACATATCGTATAATCGCATTTGTTTTACAGAAGAAATTACTCTCGTTTAGATTAATGCTCTTTGATTGATTATGCACTAAAACATGTACCGTCACATACCTCTATTTTAAAAAACGACAATGTTTTGAAAAAGAGCACAAGAAAGCTACGATGATTACATTGCGAGAAAGACGTAAATTTTGCTTTTGATTGTCAAAAGTCTTGTTTGTCTTGTGATAAACTACTGTTTAGAGCTGTCATAGATTTGGATCGGGAGGGATTTTCCGTAGCTGAATTTCGTTATAACCGCTCTATTTGGCAGTCTATAAAGCTTTTAAAGCTTGCATACTGGTACATATTCGAGATAGTTTTTGTGTTGCATGGCAATGAGCGATTTTAGTGTCTCAGTTTCTTCGTAGTTTTATTGGGCAGGAATTAAAAATTTTGAAAATATTGCAACGAGCCTTGATTGAAAATATCAATTGCGAATTTTTGCGAAAGGAAATCGTCGAAAAGTTATGTTTTAGGCAATGATGGAGTTTTGATGGTATTTTTTGGTCGCGCACGCTTTCATCTGAATTGAGCGCATAATTGCGCAGACGAATGTGAGTTGCGACGCCGAAAAATTCAAGGGTGTGTGGTCGATGAAAAATGGATGTCGTAAATTACTGCCAACCGGGTACCGTCAGCTGCTTCCCCCTCCCGTCAGTGGGCCCAGCTTTCTATGATGTAAATACTCGGCATGCACCAGCTTATATGCAACTAAGATATTCCTGATTTGCAATCATGAACTTTTTACTTAAATGAGAACAAGATGTGTAAAATAGCAAAACCTAATTGTTGTACATGAAAAATTCTGCCTATCCGCGTGTATTCCCTATGAATCAAAAGTTATCGCGAGAAAAAAGGTACATTAGTTTTTAGTTTGGGGGTAGATATTTAGTTCAAGTCAGTTTGCTTCATCTAGTCGGCTAATTTGTATTTTTTTCTTTATATGGGAGTATCTGAAATCCCTTTCTATTCCCACTGTGACATTCGGGATTTATTAAGAATCGACGAACGTAGTGCAGACTCTTATATAGTTCGAGATGATTTTTTTAAAGGAAAAGTCTTAAAATTTGTTCAGGACCAATTTTACTTTTTAAAGGTTTGACTTTTGATTTCTTTCTAAGTTCAGTTCATTTTTGTAGTTAAAGGCAAACTCCATTATTGACTCTTTTTCCTTACCTTTTTAATTTGAAATTTTGCGACGCAAAATTTGATAATTGAGTTTTCTTTATTCGAGTTAGCATCATCCTTGCAAAGTATGTTCAAACGCATGTTGTCCTAGAAACCGGAAGTGACCCGAAGTTGCATTTTATCCAATTTTCTGCGTCAAAAACAGTGAAAAATTGTTTAAAAAAAGTTGAAAAAAATTATACAAGATAAAACGGAGGCTATCAATTTTTTTTACTGAAAAGGGATTGTTACATGCAGATAGATGATGTAATAAATGTGGATCTGTAATGAAATCACATTTAAATGAGGAAAAAGATCGATGGCGTTGTAATGAAAAAGTTACAGACATCAATCGCAACGGAAAATTTACATTCATACAGCAAATTCACATCACTCATTTGCTGTTGGGCAAATGAGTACACAACGTTTGCTTTTTTCCAAAAAGAGTTAGAGATAGCTTCCACAAAAACTATTGCATTTTGCCAAGAGAGTTACAGATAGCTTCTACAAAAACTTTTTGCTCAAGAGGTACGTGCTCAAGAATTGTTGGCTAATTATTTGAAAATCGGAAAAACTGTAGAGACGTGCCAGTCGGTCATATCCTGAAGCCGGTCTTGCTCATGTTTATCACAGAAACTAAAATGAAAAGTCAGAAAATGAGGAGAACCGAGTTCATAATTGCGGGTAATTGGACCAGAAATCAGAACTAGAGTCAAATTTATATTCGCAATTTGAACTATTAAAAATCTATTCGAGTAGAGCTGTCTTGTTCTTGACAGAGAGCACCGAGAGTAGTTACAAGAGTGCTATTACTGGAGCAAGGAACATCTTGATTGGGCAGGTCGACCAGTGAAGCGACCTAATGGTCCAATTGGAAAAACTGCTGAATGCATGTGGAATGTAGCAAAATCAAGAAACAAAGAAAGGTGAAGAACGCACCGTTCAGTGATAGATAGCTATCTATGTGACTTTATGTGGAAACAGAAACAAACGAAAAGACGTATTTGAATGTATTCTGGCTGATATTGTTATTTACAATTCTACCGTAAATCGAAAACTTTGAAAAGGTTTTTGGGGAAAGGAAAAAGCACGAATTTCTAGCACTAAAACTTGAAAAGTCACAAAAACGTAATCAACTTCTAGTTTGAATATGGAAAATAATTATCGCGTGTGGTCTGAATCTCCATGTTCGATTTCCGCAAGCTGGCGAAAGTTTTATTTTTCACATTTTTTTTTCGCCTTTTCTTTTCTTAATTTTTTTAGAGCTGTGTTTGGCGTGTTGTCGCCTGTGTTTGCGAAATGCAGCTTTGCCTCGGGTCAATTTGATTGAAAGAGTTGAAAAGTTACATTGCTTGGCCTCAGTGTAAGCAAATTATTGAAAATTTCTTGAAAACTTTAAATAAAAAAAATTTCTTGGAAAAACTGATTTGTCGGGTGTTCATTTGTCTGCATAGGCTTTGTCGGTGTTGCTTCTTTGTCACGGTTTTTGTGATATGAGCAATTTTCATTATGCTAACAAGTATTGTTGATTACCTTCTGTAATATGTAATTTGCCAACACTGATGTTATAGTTTTTTTTGTCGCTTACAAGCTTTTTTCGGCCTGAAATTTTTCGGCTGATTTTTCTGTCGAATGACCTGGTTGCTATGCTTCTGGAAACAACTTGGTTTCTTTTGAGTATCTGTTTCTTTGTTCCCGATCTTAGACTAGCTGGAACAAATTTGCAAAATAAACTTCAGTTATTTACAAAAAAAAACAAGAAACCACAAGTTACAGTTAGTTGAAGATTTGGATAACCTACAAGTAAGATGTTCATTAGAATCCTTACCGCATATTTTGTGTGGAGATTTCAGCATTGATATACCTAAACAAAATTAATAATAACATTAATACAGTGAGTCGAACAGTTTTGAACTCTTAATAAAGCAGCCGATGCGCGTAACTGATTACTCGGCTACATGTATTGACCACTTTGCCATCAAATATTTAAATAGTGCAGTTGCGACAATTTTAAAACATGAAAATTTCAGCGATCACCATCCAATAACTGTTTGCTTCCCCGTTAAAAATCGATTTAAAAGTCCATCTGAATTTTATAGAGATGTTTTTTTTTGCAAAAGATGCAGCACAAATTGAGCCAACTAGTCGTATCGGATGATGCGAATGCATCTTTCAGCGATTTGAATTATTTTCTTAAAAGCGGTCAAAAAATTGGCTCCAGTTAAAAAGAAGTTGAATCAGATAAATGAATTACCAATTTTGTTCACTTATAGCATCAAGACTCTACGAACTAAAAAAATCAGGCGAACAAAATCTGGAGAATTGATGAGGCGAACTCAGAGAGAGTAAACAGGTTCAATTTATTGCGTGGTAAAATTGAAAAAGAGATATTAAGATGGTTAAAAAACAATTTTATCGGAGACTCAAGACAGGACAATAAGTTATTTATGATTTAAAGGGTAGCTTGGTTATGTCCCAGATTTTGCCTGCTAAAACGTGCGCTGAGTACGGCCAATGTTTTTCGAAGCAAGAGTCGGAAACTTATAACTTTTTTGCATTTGCTGCTTTAAACATACAACAAATCTGAAAGCGTGTGACCCTAACGTTCTTGAAACGCAGGGTTTGTCGTTCCATCTGAGTAAAAATTTTATGAAGTCTCAAATTGCATATCTAACTTACCAAACAAACCTTCATCTGGCGATAATATAATTTGCAATATTCTATTTGAGGTTTCGATCATTTGCATTGCACCAGGTGTCACCGAATTTTAAAAAATCATTGTTTTGCACAAGCCATGTTTCCTGATGAACTATCAAAAACAAAAAATTTTCCCACTGGCAAAAACTAGGTCGAAGGCTGATTTAAATAATTATTATCTGATATCTCTTGAATTTTTCAAGTGAAATTTTTGTAATGTACAACAGGTTCGAGTTTTTTTTCGATAAACAATTCGGGTTTCTTTCAAAGCATAGCACTATAGATGCTCTTGCCGAAGAAACTGAAAAGCTGAGGCGTCAGGAAAATTTAGTGTTTTTCTTGATCTCAAAAAAGCGTTTGATACCATAGATCATCAATTTCTCCTTAAAAAAACTCTTTTACGGAATACGTGGTTTTGCTCTTAAATGGCTTGAGAGCTATTTGAGTAAGCATGAGCAAAGGGTTAAAATAGCAATTATAGCTTTCTCGTGGCGTTTTACCACAGGGATACATATTAAGACCTCTGCTATTCCTGATTAATATTAACGATTTGCCGTCTATGCAAAAATGCTCAGGCGTTTCTTTTTGCAGACGATAAGAATCTCAGCTCGCTGGGCCCTAGTTTTTACCTTTTTGATACTGATCTTGATCATCTTGATAACTGGTTATCTGTAAATAAACTAGCCTTAAATTTTCGATAATATAGTTCAGCTTGCTATAAGGTGCAGAGCGTCTCGTATTTTTGAAATGGCCGCTGTTCCTCTGAAGGGTGAGCCCAACTGCAAATTTTTAAAAATTTATATTGATTCAAACTAGTAATTCCAAACAAACATTTAACATGTTTCCAGCTGGCTGGCCAATATGGCATTGTATGTAAAGTACATGTTTCGCGAGATCAGTTGATCTTCATTAATTTCCGTAAAGAAAGAGTTTCATCGGAAGATATTATTACTCGACATGGAATACTCTGATTATGAACTATATGTTTATAAACTATTGAAGTTTGTTCTAAGATCTATCAATACTTTCCATTCTGAATGCTATCTTTATGATTAGTTGGAATTAGAAAACCTAAAATTTGCAACCCGTAGGGCCGGTTAACTTTTACGACAACTCTCTTTTCGCACGAAGCTGAAAAAATTTTCCATTCGTTATAAAGAAACGAAACGTTATAATGCCCTACAATCAAAGGGACGACTAATAACATTAAAAGTTTAACAGAAAGTAGAATTATAGACTTAGCCCATGTTCTCAGAGATGGATGCTTTTTGAATAATAATGAATTGAGTAATTGTAACTTTTCCTAAGGATCCGTGGTATAGTGGCTTTCCTAAGGATCCGTGGTATAACACCTGTGACTTGAACCCCTGGGGTACGGGTTCGATTTCCGACTGGAACTGTTGATAATTAATGCCTGGATAAAGATAGTTGTACATAGGAAGGAATAAATCAGAGCTATAAGCAGAGTAATCAGGGTCGTAGGGAAAGGAAAAGAAAAGGGTGAAGCAAGATAGGTGGTGGGAAATAATCGTCAAAAAAATCATTTTTTTTATTCATAAGGATCTCAAATTTTACATTGTAACAGTTTTTTAGTATAGTGGTAAAATACTTGATGGGAGCTCCGGAAAAGGGGGGGTTGGATCCCAGTTGGACTTTATTTTTTTAAAGTTGTTAAATTATTAAGCTATGATTATCATTAATAACTACGTTCAAAACAAATGCGGTTTGAATCTTCTGTTGCTCAGGGAAGACTTAGAGCAGATCAGCTGATCTCGTTATTCACCCTTTTCAAGTCGCTATCTATTGCTGTAATTTGTTTATTTACTTTTATTAATTTATTTTGGCTTGAAGTTCAAGAGGGCATCAACCTGATTATTTCAAGAAACACGCCATCGCAAGGTCGCTCGAGGCGTAGTCTTGTATGGCATCAAATTAAATCATAGGAAAAAGGATATAAGTTTTTTTGATGTTTTACGTGATCATTTAGTAAATGAGGAAACATATCTGCGTATGAATTTAAAAAGTATTGCTTTCTTGGCAATTTTTGCTTTTGCCTGAAATGTTCCAATATAGACCATTTACATGGAGTAAGTTTTGTTTCGAAAATTGTACAGTGATGATGATTGCCCTTTCAATAAGCAAGGGTGTTGCAATCGGGCACTGAGCCTTTTCTGAAACTAAATTTGTTCACAGGATGACTGAAATCGGTCATCTTCATCTGAACTTCGCCAAGAAACCAAAAGAGTTTGAGCATGCTTGCGTTTTAAGTACCCGTTCTGTTGGATTTTTTAAATGTTGATTGTATATTTACTAGCTCCTATTTCAGTGTATCGTTTTTTTTTTGTTTTTTCTCTTTGGCTCATTATATATCAACTGAAATGCCTATATGGGAAATGAGGAAATAATATTCGAAAATTCAAATTTTACACTCTTTTACCAAAAAAAATTTGGCTATAAAATAAATTATACAAAGAAGTATTACAAAGATCGATTTAACTTGAATCTGCCACCTATTGTAGTATATCACCCAAAAAAGTTTATGTAAATGTTTCGAGAAAGACTTGACCGTTTTTTTTGGCCCCAAGTGTCTGCTTAAGAATTGTTGGCTTTGTTACCGCTTAGTTCGTTTTTCTTACTTCATGGCATATTTTTTTTAAAAAGAATTTTTGTTCCAGACAAAAAAGCACAGAAAGGTGGAAAAATTTTTTGGTTCAATAATTTTTTTCGTTATTCTTTCGAATCTTTCATCTCTTTTTCTGTCTATTAGTTTACCATGCTATGTATGTGTTGCATAGCTAGTGGTGCGAAGCTTCGCTTGCCCCGTGTAAAATGTTTCTCACTTCTGAAATAAAAATGGCATTGGACCATCGGGACTAGCAGCAAACAAATCATCACAGTTGGACGACTCAATTTGAATATTTGGCAGAAAAGTGTCAGTTTAGAAAGGCAATAAACATCTCTTACGGCATCAGTAACGATTTCTGAACAACATGAAAAGTACTTATTTGATGAGTTCTGCTTTTTAACGATCTGTTTGCTAAAGCATTGGCATAAGTCATGTCTGAATGGAATAAAGCGCTTTTGTTTAGCAAGGAGAGTAATTTTAAATAACTTATGAATTCGCTCATGCTACGCTTTAACTGAGAGAGCCTTCTCGATTTGAAACGATTCATTTAATTGGCTTTTCAAATTCCTTAGATTGAAAGAATAAAGTCGTCACTTTATCAAGAAACCTTTGAACTTTAGCACCGCTGTTAAATAAAAGCATGGTACGAGAAAAATAGAGCGAAAAATAAAGAATAAAATTCCGGTTTGATTTAAGAAAGATTCGTAGATAGAAATAATGAAAGAAAGAAAGAAAAGAAAAAGAAGAAGAAAAATAAAAAGAAAAAGAAAAAGGAAGAAAAAGAAATAAATAAATAAAGAAAGAAACAAGCAAACAAAGAAAGAGAGAAAGAAGGAAGAAAGCAAGAAAAAGAGAGAAAGAAAATAGTTCGTTTGCTCGCTTAATGCTTACCGGTTGTCTTTCAGGCGTCAGAGGTGTGTCCGACGGACAGGATAGTGGCCGTGATGAACATAGGTGCGCCTGCAGCTGGCATGAATGCGGCAGTCAGGAGTGCCACCAGGACACTTTCTCTAGCACCCGATGTCAGAGCAATCCTAGTCTACGAGGGATTCGAAGGACTCATGAGTGGAGAAGTAAGTGGGTGTTACTTAGAAATATAAACAGTTTCCTTATTTCACATGCAATTACGTTATATCCTTTTGTAAATATCAAATTTTTAAGTGTCAATGAACGCACTGAAAACAAGTTTTGGTCGTGTGGTTTTTAGTTTTATTTTTCAGGAAAAGTTTTGTTTGTTGTTGCTCGCGCTCAATTTTCATTGTTGCGGTTTGACTTCTGATTTTTTACGTCCAATTGATTTGCTTGATGCAAAATACACTCTCCTATTTCCAATGTGCGAAGGCGCGAAAAATATAAATTACTTTCTTTCATAAGTGGTATTTTTTAGATTTCCCAACGGAACAAAAATATTTTGTTTTATAAATGGTCTTTTCAGATTTCCCAACGGAACAAAAATATTTTCTGCTGATCCAGTTTTCTCAAATAGGCGAAAAAATCATAGAAATTCAAGTAAGTTCCCGAACAAGAACCGCTTGCAAGAACCGAAGACGTATCCGTGTGGGTCTCGAAATAGAGACCTTCAGTTTTAAACAAGGAAAGATAATCACTTCATACAGAGAAACAAAGACCAGTGACCGGACTTAAATGATGTATTCTTCGCAAATAATTGAATATTTCCACAATAACAGCAAGGGTTTTTTCCATTAATTCATTGGGCTATTCTCTCCCAGGTGACGGATGGTCTCTGGAATGCGACCGCCTGCTGGAGTGCTCTGGGTGGATCATCTCTTGGCACCAACAGGACCACGCCCTCCGACATCGGACTTAGTAAACTGGCTGAGAAGTTCAAACACTACAAACTAGATGGACTCATAATTATCGGCGGATTCGAGGTAAGGTTGTTGAACTCAGTGACGAGTATCTTATTGAAGCTACGCGTTAATAGAAGGCTTTCTTATTGATTAATTTCGACGCAATCTCAATTAGTTAACCTTGCGATAGGTTTTGCAATTGGGTACTATACTTTTTCCCGTAAACAATTTTGTCCATAGAATTCACTGAACCGGCAATACCTTGATTCATAATGCATTCAAAATGTGTTGCTTCTCTTGCACGCTTAGCCTGGTGGTAACGAATACGCCTGGGGTGGCAAAGTTCCTGTGTTCGAATCTGATCAGTATCAGTTTTTTTTTTCGAACGGAATTCAGCCTATTATTTGTCTGCTTATGTTTTGTCCTAATTAATATCGACTTCGTGGCCTCTTATTGCCTCTTTACGTCCGAAAAAAGTTATTGTGTCCGTGTGTGTGCTCTCACGCGAAAAGGGACTTGACATTTTTTAAATTATTTTCTTGACAAGTGTATAAACAGGTTTTTTCGGCTTTGTTATCGCTTGGTAATTATAAATTCAAATCCAATCAACCATTCGGCGCATCTGATGTAGAGGTAAAAACAATTGTGTGAGATGGCAAAGATTGGTTCGAATCCGGCCGGGCGTTTTTTTTGCAAACTAGACTTTTTATGCTTTTTCGGATTAAAATCCGTCTGTTTATTTTTGTCGGCTTAGATCCCGTAGCTCGAAGGTTCAGCTTTATTTTGAGACGACAAAGCCCGGGAGTTCGATTCCAGTTGAGACTCGTTTTTCTTGTAAATAGAAAATTTTGGCTACTTTAGATTATTGTCTGTCTGCTGAGTTCTGCAGAAAGGATTTAAAAAAAAAACTTGGCTTCTGTATAGCATTCCCAATGCTCTTCGTAGAGTTTCTAATGGTGCAGGCAATTTTGTTCCGGATGTTTTGGGCTTCTGATGCATTTTTTTGAACTTTTTTCCGTTTGATTTTCATAACATTCATATTCGTATCGCATGTGGTGCGAAGCTCAGCTTCACCACTGTGTTAAAAAATCAAATTTTCATCTTAGTTTTGAATAGCTTTGGAACTATTTTGATTCTTGAAATGTTGAAAGTATAGATGTGTTTCAGGCCTTCCAATCTATCCGTGAGCTACATGCAGCTAGGAAGCAGTTCCCCGAGTTCTGCATTCCCATGGTGATAGTGCCTGCATCCATCAGCAACAACATCCCAGGAACTCAGCTGTCCATAGGCTCAGACACTGCACTAAATGCCATCGTACAGGTCTGTTCAACTTCAGGTCTCAGTAAAAGTTCTTCAGAGGATGAGTTCCTTCTGATTTTCGGCCCTAAAGTTGATTTGAAATCTCATAAGCCTAGGACTTTTTAAATTATTTTAAAATTGAATTGCTTTTTAATTTTTTAAATGCATATATTACCATGGTAGGTTTCATTAGGGTGGCCGCTCGGTCAAATGTTTCTGTCCAGTTCCTAATACTTGTCATGTTTTTTGAAAAACTTTGTCAGCAGAGTTCAAAATTCAATTTTTTATCGGTTTTTTAAATTTGGTTCTTTTGTGGTCTGAAAATGGTCCGATACTCTGTAGTTAGGCAAGTTGGATTTTTTTGACTCAGTCGGGGCCAAAATTTGGGGCCTAATACCTAGCGTTCTTGTTGAACGAAAACTCGATGTATTTTAATTAATTATGAGGAGTCTTATGGAAAACGAAATGTAGTTGAATCAATAATAGTTGTTGTTGTGTTGTCAGTGTTGTGACGTGATCAAGCAGTCGGCGCAGGGCACGAGGAAGCGGGTGTTTGTGATTGAGACAATGGGCGGCTTCTGTGGCTACTTGGCCTCCATGGCTGGACTGGCGTGTGGGGCGGATGCAGCCTACATCCACGAGGAGAAGTTTAACATCGAGGACCTCAAGTGTGACGTCTACCACCTTGCCGAGAAGATAAACGAGGGGGTCTCACGGGGACTTATCATCAGGTAATACTGAGAAAAACAAAAAGAAGCAATCTCTTCTGTCGTTATCTTTAGAGGGAATGGAGAGAATAGTTATAAATATCGAGTTTAAGTTGGATAATATGTTGAATAAAGCCAAATAATAGAATATTTGAACAAAATATTGATATCTAAGCTGGTCTGAAAAAGGTAAAGTCTCAGAATGATAGCCGATAGCTGTGCAAGGAGCACATAATATTGCGACCAATTTTCATTACGAACTATAAAAATAAATTTTTTAAAATCAAAACTTGATAATTTGTTATTTACATACGCGGAGCGGACTGTCGTATTACGGTATCCACTTTTTTCCAACCTAAGTCGCTAATAAAAGTATTATTGTTGTCATGTATTTGGTGGCACTCCTGCGACATTATATCTGGTTTAGTTTTGCTGCATAGCATTATATCTGTGTATCTAATTTCTTTTGTGGCTAGTACCTGTTTGATTAGAAACACAATTTTTATGAAAATCCATGGGATTTGGTTTTTAAATAGTCGATGAGCGTAGTTCAGACTCTTATATAGTTCGTGATGTTTTCTTTTTCGTTCAGGAAAAGTCCTAAAATGCTCTAATATTTTACAGCTGTGCATTAATATGTGCACTTTTTGAGTTCAGTTCAAGTTCATTTGCTAAAAGACAGCCGAAATTAACTCAAAACATGATCGATTTCTAGTTTCGAAAAAGGAATTCAATTCTTAGATTAAACAGCTGAATAAAAACTGTACCTAACACTCCAGATTTCTCAACTTGGGTTATTTTTTATCAAAAGAGTGCCAATCGTAAATTATTCGTGTAATTTAAAGCGCTTAAGACCATCTAATATTTTATCTTTGAAGTCATTTTTTTTCTGTTTGTTTGCGTCCATTGACTTTTTTCTAACTGTCTGTTGGTTATGATTATTCATATTTTTTGAGACTTTTTAGAAAAATTTTTAATTTTTCGCAAAATTTTTTTTTCTCGTATTGTTTTGCTGATTTTTTTTCTTAAAACTTTTTCCAGAAAACTTCATTGGAAAAGCTGAGACTAAAAGTTGATTTAAAAGACATGTTCCGAAGATCTCCCCTGCTTAAGCTGCTACGCCACAATTATTGTAGAAAAAATGATGGCCTTAGATTATGTCCAAATTTTGCCCATAAGTTTTGTAGAAAAGCATACGAACTAAGTTTTCTAGAAAAGCATTGTTGGACTAAGCAAAGTTCGTTCTGTACCCTTGCGATAAGCAAGGGTTTTGCAATCGACTACTTGACTTTTTTCCCCTGAAACAACTTCGTCCACAAGATCTGCACTTCTAGAGGATCTTTTTTTCTAGAGGAAGATACTTACGTAGCAATTAGTTTAAACCCGTTTCAGATAGTAATTATCTTTTCAAATTTTTTTTTCACTTTTTCGTGTTCGTGGTTTCGTCCTAGTTTCTGTCGGTTTTTTAAACGCCATTTTTTTATTTAGTAAGGTTTTTATTCGCTTACTTTTTAAAGCATGGGTTTTGTTCCAATTTAAACAGTTTTTTTTTTAACTGGAACTTCACAAATTTGTAAATTTACTATGTCTGATTTTGAGTTTTTTTTTTCATTTTTTTTCGTTTTTTTTTCTAACAGTTTCAGTTCATGCTGTATCGTCTTAGTAAACTTATTTGGCGTAATTTCAAGAGTAAAATATATTTGTTTGGGATTATGTATTTCAATACAGATGGGTCGTAAAAATGTGGGTTTATGAAGTTTTTTATGACAACAGTTTTGTTTTCGGCTGAACAGGTTTCGACCTGAAGTTTGTCTCCTTTGTTGCCACTCGGTTAACAATTTCCCTTCATTAAGGCGTGTTTTTTAACTTCATCCGATACAAATATGAAGTTTTTGTAGCTGTATTTTTTCAACTTTTGTCAAGTTATTTTAAGTAATTTTTTTCAACATAATGTCTTGTCTTTTTTTTATTCACTCCGCTTTGCCTCTGTGTTGAAATTTTGACTACAACTTCCACAATGAATGAAGTTGTTGAACTAGCTCAATTGTGGTGGTAGTTTTTGAGCAAGAGCCTCTGAACAAGATCAGGCTATTTGAACTGCGTGGGAGACCTTCAGTTTTGATTTTGATTTGTATATTTTGATGTTTTGATTTAGAAACGAGAAGGCGAGTACGAACTACACGACTGAGTTCATAGAGCGCATGTACAATGAGGAGGGCGATGGTCTGTTCAGCTGTCGTTCTAACATCCTCGGTCACATCCAGCAGGGCGCCAACCCCTCCCCCTACGACAGAAACTTCGCTACTAAACTGGGGGTGAAGGCTGCCAACTGGATGGCCACCCGCATCAAGGAAGCACTCGAGAAAGGTCTGTTTTTCCGCTCACATATTTTATAACTAAAGCTCTTTTTGTTGGCTGACAGAGGAAGTGCTTGTGGTAAAAAAAACAGTTTAAGGAACGGTAAAAGTCGGACGAAAATTATTTAAATGTTTGTTTAGATGACTGAAGTATTTGACATTTGTCATAACTTAGTGGGTAAAAAGTTTTTTCTAATTATAATGCGCAGTACTAGTTACTAGTATGTACTCTTCTAAGTAGTCCTGTTCCCGTTTTGTTGGTTCATAAACATTGTTTTAGGACAATCAGCTAATAAAACTACGACAATCAGTTATTCCAGTTTTATTATTTGATTGTCCTTAAAATTGAGTTGAAGCCAACTTCTAACCATGTCAATGCTCTAAAATCTTTTACTGTTACAAACCGGGCTTGCAGGTTTATGTGATTGGAAGTTTAATTTGACTCTGATGTTTAGATGGCCTAATCAACACTACGAGTAGCCACACTGCCTGTCTCCTGGGCCTGGACAAACGCACTCTCAACTTCTCCCCTGTGACCTGGGTGTCACAGGTCACAGACTTCAAGTTCAGACTGCCCGCAGAACAGTGGTGGCTCAGACTGCGACCTCTGCTCCGTATCTTAGCCAAGCACAAGAGTGTCTACATGGCGGACAGCGTGGGAATCATGTCCCTGACGCCTCCTGATGATATGTACCAAACAAATGGACATAAGAAGTTCTACCCTTCGTCGACCAATTCTTCCAGCTCCAACCTCCTTGAAAGCAGTATTATGTGAAATACAAAAAGAAGGAACCTTACGAAGCGTCATTGAAGTGCTTTATTTGTTGCTACAACTTACCTGAATTAATAAATGTAGCCATATCTTGGCATTAGCGGTGAAGAAACTGAACTTTAACCGCAATAGATTTTAATGTAGAAAATATTGAGCTTATCTTTGTTATTCAAGTAGATTGAAATAAAAATGCTGATAGTTTAATAATATCAATTTATTAGAATTGAATAACGGTAACTAATTGCCAATTGTTTTGCACTCTATAAAAATGCATGTTCTTCTATAACTCGGAATGTAAATAAACAAACCGGAAAATATTTTACTGGTAATCTGAATGATTATCAAATCCTGCTACTAATGTAGTAAAATGTTTTTTTTTTCTCGAAGAACTGCATTGCGTTTGGTTGAAGTATTTCGAAAACTCGAAAGAAACTTTGAAGTTGAAACTGAAATAAAATGATCACTGGTGCTAGGTAAATTAGACGACAAGTCATTAAAATGGCAAGGCTATAAGAAGACTAAATGTTTTTCCAAACCTTCAATTGGTTACTTCTTAAAAACTAGAATCTTAAACGGCAAAATCAATGGATCTTTTTAGTTAGCTCTTTTTTAATTGTCTTCTTTTATTGCCCATTGAAACTATTGTCGCCTTAACAACTCCTGTTTTATTTGCGTAACACCATGTTCACTGATGCTTAGGCTGTGTGATGCTTACTGACTTTGTAAATGCTGAGTAATAAAAAGTTAAGGCCTAACTAATTGCAATTTTGCACCGAATTGAGTTTTTCGCACACATGAACTTTTTTAAGCGTATTTGAGAATTTAAGCGTATTTGAGGAAACTATTAGGGAAATTGTAATCCAATTAAAAAAATATTTAGTTCGCGTTTCTTATGCGGTTTCAAATTTTGTCATATTTGACTAATAATCGTAATGTGTAATAATCGCGATGATTGCCTTCCACAAAATTAGTGAGTTTGGTGTGACCCTTAAAAACATAGTTTGCGCGTGAACAAGATTCGTGTGAAAAAACGGACACAAAATTAGAGAAAATTTGTTTTTTTTCTTTCTTGAATGGTTGTCCACGTGGTTTTAGTGGTTTTTGAAACAAAAATTAGGCTGTTGAGAATTGTCCAAGTATATAAATTGCTTTGATTTTTTGTTAAATTGCTCAGGGTGACTGAAATTGTTGCGGGACAAAAAAAACTTAATTTGAGAGTGCAACCAGAAATATTTTGAGCATGTATCTATTTAAATGCCCGTTTTATTGACACTAGCAAGCAGCGTAGTGTAATAGTACGAACCTTCTTTTTTAACTCGCAAATAAAAGTGTTCAATAAAAGTGTTCACTTATTTGGTGGCACTTTTGCTATAATCGCGATCTGAAGCATTTAAAATTTGATAGCATATGTTTTTTGCTTAATTTATGGCTAGTGTTTGTGATTAATTAAGCGTCCGTGGCTTGTGAGTGAGGCTCATAAACTCTAAGTCGCAGATAGAATCCGAGATATAGCTGATTTTTTTATTACTAATTCGAGGTTTATTTCTAGTTTTATTATTAAGAGCAATGAACTTAGTGAAAAGTGACGTAAATCTCCTGAAAGTGACGTAAATAGCACTCTCCAATTACGAACGTGGAAATCGCGCGATAAAAACGTGAACGATTTCTAGTTTCGAAAGTGGAATTTCAAGATTTCCCAGCGGAATAAAAACTTAAGCTATTGATCCAGTTTTCTCATGTTGGGTTCATGTTGTCAAAAAATCTCCAATCCTAAATTGTTCTAGAAATTCAAAAAGCTTAAAGGGCATCTTTTTTTTCTTTGAAATTCGAAAATTGAGATTTTTTAAAGAAAGTAGTTTTTTTGTTTACTTGCGTTCATTACTCTTTTCCAATCTTCGATTGGCTATGTTTCCATATTATAGATCTGCTTTTTATCGTGTTGTCGCTAGTGTTTGCGAAGCGAGGCTTCAGGTCTGTGTCGAAATTTATTTTGAATTTATGTTGGTTGTAAAGTTAACACCTACTTCAGTTTCAGCATTATTTCAATTTTTTTTCCAGTTTTTTACGTGTTTAAAAGCTTCCGTCTAATATGGTTTCGGCTTTGTGGCCTTTTATTGCCTCGCTGAATCAGTCAAAAAGAGCTTCTTGACAAAATGTATCTTATCTATATAACTGTGAAGGGTGATTCGAAGAAATACTTTGTTTTCATTGAAAAATTTTCGATATACCTGAAAAGCTTCATAACCTCCAAACTATTTACAGTGTATAATTACGCTATGAGCATAATTTATTAGTTTGACTCTACTTTTTTCTGACCTAACCTGCAAATAGCAGTGCTCATTTGGTGACTTTTTTGCTATAATCTGTAGCTGTGAAATTTTCATAGCATCTATTCTCTGCTTCAATGGTGGCTAATTTTTGCAGTGTCCGTGGCTCAGAAGAAGATGAAAGCCACCAAATCGAAATGCATTGACGAAAAATCATTCTGCCCAAATTTGCATACATTTTTCTCGAATCATATTTAATGAAGTACATGTTGAAAACAGGCCCAGTAAGACAATTGATTTTCGGGTTCGTGGTTTTCGGCCTAGTTTCCGTCGGTTCAATTTCCGTTTTAAAAAAATTTAATTAGTATTAACTGGCACTGCTTATTTCGTAAAAATTGAATTTTTTTAGTTCAGTATCTTTTACTAAAATTGAAATTCAGTAACTTGTAAGTTTTCCAAGTTTGATTTTTAAAATTATTTTTTCGATTAAACGGTTTCGGCTCATATTTTTTTTGCATAAATATTTTCTATAGGTAGTTTTGATAGTATAAAATTCCTGTTCGACAAAATCAGGTATTATGATATTGTTTTTTGCTTTTTAAATCTTTTTGAGACGTTTTGACTCTTTTTGTCACTTTTCGCTGAAATTTTCCTCGACAACTTTTTCTCTGGTTTTCATAAAGTGGCTCAATAAAATACCGGCTACTACATTGTATGAGTGCATATTTGCATATTCTCTTTTAACCCCACTCCTTCCAAGGCCTTCGAAATTTTTTTCGATTGTTTTCTCAGATACTACTGTAATAAATATGAGATTAAAATTTCAATGGCAAGAACAGGTAGTGGGGATATCTTCTGCATAAGCCTCTACGTCCTAATATTAATAGAAAAAATATGTCTTAAAAGGTCATTTTTTGACAGGTAGGTTATTCTGTTTTGTAATTTTTCTCAAAAGTTAACCTCTCATATGTTGAATTAAGGTTTCAATTGAAAAAGCAGTTGTGGTTATCCTCCTGGCGTAAGCTAATACGCTCCACTTTTTATGGAAAGTTAGTTTAATTTTGATCGTTTGTTGGAAAATTTGTTTTCTTAACCGAAAACTACCCTGCCACCCTGATAACAAAAGTCAAATCGCAATGAAGGCTATTTAATATTCCCGCTGCCTTTGCGAATTTACTTTATTTTTTTGAAAAGACTTATCGCCCCGGTAAAAATCAAATTTTTGAAACTGACCTTTTTTTTGAAATTTTTGACTGCTTTCAAAAAAGTACTCTGCTAATTTAATGGTTCAATTGGAACAACAGATTTCGGAATTCCTTGATGAATGAGATGGTACACCCTTCATTATATAGAAAAAAAGCTATAGCCTTCGGAAAAGTCAATTTTATTTATTTTTGGGACCGTATTTCGAAAACTTTTTGACTGTTCTCTAAAACTATCCTGCCAAATCTGAGATTTTTTTGACTTAGTGGCTGTCGGTTTTTGCATCGCAACTGGCGCGAAGCACAGCTTCGCCTCTGTTATAATTTAATTTCCTGAGTATTTTGTTTGGCAATTTTGATTTGACTGTTTTTTCTCAGAATGTAGTTTTTATAATTTTTATCAACCATCTGGCGTAGAAGTAACACTCCTGCTTGAGACGGCAATGTTTTTGTTTCGAATCCGACCGGGACTTGTTTTTTTTTTGGAAACAATAGTTTTTTTGCTGTTGTTTTTTTTGTCGGCTTACTTTCCGTAGCCCAAGTTTTTTTTTGAAGATTCAGTATTCATCCTGGTTGCTGTAACACCCATGCTTGAGGCAACTCAGCCCGGGAGTTCGATTCAACGTCATGACCTGTTTTTTTTTTAAAAACTGAAAGTTTCCAGCTATATTAGATTATTGTCTGTCTGCTTGTTTTTTGTCGGCTTATTTCCCGCAAAAACACTTTTTTTGAAAGTTTGTGATCAACTTCTTAACTTTGATTATCAGGTTTTCCAACGAAAATAAAATTTTAACCTTTTGATCGTTTCTCAAATTGGGTTAGCTTTATGAAATAAGTGTCAATCATAAAACTGTTCTAGAAATTCTAAGAGTTAAGGCCGTATACTTTTTTTCTTTGAAATTCGAAAAACAAGTCAGTATTTTTTTTTCCGCTAACCAACAGTCTTTTTAAGAGTAAAAGATCAAAAAGATTTTTAATTTTCTAGGCCTTAATAATTTGGGGACTGGGGCAAATTTTTCTGACTAGTTGTAAGTGGTCAGAGTTTTGATTATTGGCCGCTGAACTTAATGAGCAACAGCGAAATTTTGATCAGCCAAAATACCTTTCGAGATGGATTTTTTGAGAATTTACAAAACACATTGGCTTGCTCTGATATACAGACGCTCTTGATTTGCCTGGTAATAAAGTTGAATTTGTGAGGTAAGCTGAATTTAACAAATGGTCTTAGCCAAACCTTATTAATTTCATAAATTTGTTTTTAATACCTTGTTTCAGCAACGCTGTGGAAAACTTCACCTTTTTATGGTCAGTATACCATATAAAACTGAAAGATAAGTCTTAAACCTGCCTTTTTTATCTTTTTTTTTAATCATAAATGGATTTTCCTGGTTAAAATCAGGCACAGTGTTTAAAGCTCATTATTAGGTTTGAAATATCAAGTTTTTCATGAAAACAGTTTGACTCAGAATCTGACATTGTTATCTCATATTTGGTTTGTTTATAAAAAATGTTTTTTTTTGTTTTTGAAAAATATTGATTTCACCAAAATATGCTTCTAAGCGTAAAAAGCTACGAAACTGCCTACGAAAGAATTTGACTTCAAGATAAGGTTTTTCTTGTAATTGTTTTAGTGATTTTTGGTTCAGTGTTTTTGCGTTAAAAGCGTATGTGGTTATCGGTTTTTATTGAGTTATGAAAGTCGTAAACGTCATTGGAACTCTGTGCACTTCCGAGAGCAAAGGTCTTGTAATCGGGAACTAAACCTTTTTCCCCATAAAAAAGTTTCCTTACAATTTACTTGATTTTCTTACTTGCTTCATTATTGAAACTTAAAAACTTCCAGGTTCTTTCCCGCTTTTTCAAATTTATATTTAAAAATATTTTTGGTTGTGGTTGTTTTCATTTTCCCTATATTTTAAAATCGAAGCGCGTCCAGAAACTTCAGTTAATGAAGAAACGCATCACACTGAAATTTTATAGCCGTGAACCATTATAATTGGGTAGGATAGTTGGAGTCTTGGTTAGCGAAGAGTTGACGTGCAGGGTCGAGTGATACATCAGGTTAACAGGTTAAAGCCATTTAGTCATGATTCGATTGATATTGAAAAATTTTAATGAGTGTATCTCAGTGTCGAGAAAACGAAAAACAGTCGGGAAGTCTTTCCATTGAGATCGATGGCCTTAGTTTCAAAGTTACAGTGTCAAAGTTACCGGTAATAACGCCAATAAAAAGACTAAATATTGGGTTTTACCCTAATCACGCAGGTAATACATGGTTTTTACACAAGCTAAGATTGTGTTATGGTATGAACTCTCTTTTTTTCCAACCT